GAGAATAAACCCATTAGTAACCAAATCAAGGAAAGCATTAGCCACGCGCTAAGGAAGCCTCATGGAGCAGTTGAGATATCAGTGCTTGACTGGAACCCCCAAGGAGCACGGAGACGAAGGTGTCTAAGAAAGACATTAAGGTCAATGGATTGGAAAGACCGTCTTTCAAAAAACCTGTATGTACAGGTGTCCCGTTAAGGGTACGGAGCGGCCGTATCTCGACAACGGTAAGGCCGAGAGGTTTGGTACAAAAATCCTTATAAGCAAAGTGGGCAAGAAAAATAGCTGGAAATTATTTTGAAGTGTGATTCGACCTCTAGGGGGCGTAACTGCCATAGAGAAACATAAAATTCCATCATCTATCTAGCTATCTCAGAAAGTTAGACGATGAGCTATAACTTTGACAACATCACTTAGTAACTTGGATTATACCGCGTCGCTTTTGTTTTGCAATATTTCTCATATCTGTCATAATAAGGGAGGGGAGGTCAATGCGTTTTCAAATGTTTACATTTTAATATATCCTGGACCATTCAACCGATTTAAATATTTTGGGTCTTGTTTGAAAGAGAATTTTATGTTCTTTTAAAAGATATTTTCAGTAAGACAGTTTGGTTTAAAAGAAATAAGCTAGTGGGCGTTATCTGCAGCGATTACATATTTTTGTGATTTTTGAAAAGAAGTTAAATTGGATAGTACTATTTACTTCACAGATCCTTGGCGACCTTAAAATTTGCTAAATATTAGTGGAAACCGTATCTCGATATCGCCATTCGTTCTCGAAGTGCCATACAATCGAATTCAAGTACCTCATCGAGAAAAACAAATCACATAACCATGATAACTGTAAACATGTCATTTACTAACGCAGAAGTGTATGATAGAGCGTATAATGATTTATTTTCAATGTTTCGAATATGATGCAACTGCATGGCAAAAATTACGACAAAGACATTTTTCTCTAGAAGTGTTTTTAAGATTGGCTTAGCGATTACAGGAAACTAACAACTAGTCAATTTAGACATCTCTATGAATTCGTAAATCACATTGGTGTGCAATGCGATCCCACATTATCTGGGAACCCCGAAAACAATTGTCCACAAGATTCCTCAAGAGAATAGTATGTATCTCCACCACATTGCTTTACATCAGACCTTAACAGATACCGATTATGATGACAGATTGAACTATTATCATTGACTTTTAAATATGATTCGGACAAATCCAGATCTTTTATCACAAATATTATGGATGCATGAAGCATCTTTCAACACGCTGGTATAATCTTGCACAATATGCATTCTTGGTTGGAGCAAACCCCACATTGCTTTCATCCCTTTATCTATGAGGTAAACTAAACGACCTGACTTTTCAAGATAAACCAATAACCAAGGAAAATATGGCAAAACACTAAATGCTATTAGAAACGTGTAAATAACGTTTTTTTTTTTCGTCGAAACTAGAATAAATAAATGCATCTAGGTTTATGGAAGGGAGTTTGAACATTTGTGAGCTATTTTTTCCAAAACTTTAAGTAATTCTAAGTGTTTTGGTTTATTTTCTTTTGATTACATTGTTGATGTTTCATTGATCCGTAGGCTTTTAAACACGCTTCAAAAGTAGTTTTGAACCAGTTTTAAGCTTGGACAAAGTGTGAAGGAGGGTTCTAGGTCAAGGATGGCGAACCAATAATAGCCATTAATGGCACGCGACACAATATTTTGGGCACGTCACTGATCACAAAATTCATTATCATGCACTACGAAAAAGTGTGAAGTAGGTATTACATGATGAGCGAACGCGAGTGATCCCTACAATCTACATCATGAGGTTTTATTACTAATGACGCATAGTTTGTTTATGTATAACATAATAGTGAATATTTGATTTGAAGTTTATTTGAGTTTTATCTGTGATTTTAACTGTTATTTAATATGGCTAGTTCAGCAAAAAAACAAAAAGTGCAAGGTAGAAAAAGCATCAGAAAATTTAAAACTTGGTGGACAGAGAAATATGACATGATTAGTAAAGGTGACAAGGCGGTGTGTGTTTTATGTTCTGTAACATCGTCTATGAAACGGCATTTTGAAACAAATCACAAATCCGTTAGTCAAAAAAGCGAACCAGAGCAAAAAGAATTAATTGCAACTGCATTGAAAGACAGAAATAAACAGTCAACATTTATGACTAAATATGTTCGCAACAATTGTCATACGAGCGCGGCAAGTTACGCGGCTACAAATGTCATTGCTCGGCATAATAAACCTGTTCATGAGGGAGAGTTTTTGAAGGAAGTCATGCGCGCCCTCTCTTTTTGATGATTTCGATAATAAAGATAAGATAATTCAGCGCATCAAAGATACTCCTCTGTCCAGAAACACAATAAAAGAAAGAATCTTAAAACTGGCCGAAAATGTAACAGATCAACAAAAAATTGATATTAGCTCTGCTTCTTTTATACCGCTATGTCTTGACGAAAGCACTGACGTCGCTAAATCTGCTCGTTTACTGATGTTGCTCCAAGTATGGTGGGTAAAAAAAATGGTTTCATAAGTTTATTTCATACAGACGTAGGGCATTCGATTCTTCAATTCTACTGAACAATCCTTGTGTGCTAGGAGTGGTTTAATATCTCTTGATAATGTAATGGCGGTAGTCACAAAAATAATCAACCTCATCTCGTCGCAGGCTTTAAACAGGCGGAAGTTCGATGCTTTGTTAGATGAAGTCAACTCGATGTACAATGACTTACTGATGTACAATAATGTTCGCTGGTTGAGTCGCGGGAACGTACTTCAAAGATTTGTTGATTGCTTGGAAGAAATCAGACTGTTTCTGCAAAATGAAAGAAAAGTTGAAGAATACTCACAGTTGTTTGATGTTATGTGGCTTTCAAAATTGATATTTTTTACAGACACGCCAACATTTAAATACCTTATACATGAAGCTTCAAGGGATAAATAAAACAATTACCGTCATGGTAGCTCTCATTCGCGCTTTTGAGACTAAACTGCAAGTTTCCAGGAGCGATATTATCACAAGAAACTACAAGTATTTTCCAAATTTGAAAAAATATATCAACAATTTGGAAATACATGAGAAACCAGACGAAGACCAAGTTACAGGGAATTTTCAGCGAGATTTTCTCATTTCAAAAAATTATCGGAAATACTCAAGCTTATTATGTACCCTGATGTGACGTCATTGGATAAACTGAATTTGTCCCAATTGGAATTGCTGGAAATTGAAGAATTTAAAATGCAGCTGATTGATTTCCAGTCTAGTTCATTATGGATTCAAAAATTTATTGAAACAAGGAAAGAGTTAGAATTAATTGAAACAGAAAGATTGACAAGAAACATGGAATGCGTTACCAGACACATTTAATTGTTTGAAGAAGCTGGCTCATGCCATTTTAACAATATTTTCATCAACCTATGCCTACGAGTCATTATTTTCAGAGATAAATAACATTAAAGACTCGGTTAGAAGCCGTTTGACAGATGACTCCAGTTCAGCATGCATTCTGCTAAAAGTACCATCTTACAACCCTAACATATGTTATTTGTCATCTTATCTGCAACAACAGAAGTCACACAAATTTTACTCTAATTTAAATTACGCGTATAATTGAACCATTGCAAAATGTTCCTATTTTTGTTGTAGTAAATAAAGAGTACCCTTAGCGGAACAACCTGTATACCTGGTTTATGATTTATTTTTTATCATTTCACTTTACATGTTTCGATATGAAATGTTATTTTCAGAGATATCATCCTATAATCAGAGTAGAAAACATTCACAATGTTTTACCTACAATGAAATATTTGAAAAAAGTTAAAAATGCGAAAACATTAACATAATTTATTAAAAAATATCTAGAGCAATTAATTATGAAAACTATTCACATTCATTTTTAGTAAACAATAAGGTTATTAATTAAACAATTAGAGTAGTCTTATGACCTTATTACAACAATACATCCACGTTGTGTAATCGAAAAATATTTTGATTGTTGTAGTGTAAACAATGCTGCGTAAAAATATCGAGAAATGTTTAGAAGGGGTTTACACAGCCTAGATATATTATTAAAAGAGAACTTCGCCACACAACAAACCGGTTTAATCATGGAGTTGAATTTATTCAAATCATTCTGAAAGATTTCTGGGAAAAAGACCACCTGAAAAGTTCACGCTACTCCTTAAATCATAATTTTGAAAACACCATAGAATTCTTTGAAACATTTTACATAGAAAAGTAGTCCTTGTTAAATGTTGTAACACCAACCATTCACAAGATAATACAGATTTTGTGCGATTTTGTAACGTTTTCAAGGAAGCAGTGACTAAATTATAATTTTCAGCACGTTTTTGAATTACACGATGTAATTTACGTAAAAAGATATGATTAATGAATAGCTACTTCCTAAATCATATAATTATGACAACATTATTGAATTCTTTCAAGTATTTTACATAGAAAACTAGTAGTCCTTGTTAAAAGTTGTATCGCCAACGGTTCTCAAAATAATGAAAATTTTCCAGCAAACTCCAAAACTGATTATTATGCCCTGAATTTATTTATTTACAAAATTTTCCTATCATTTTACAATTAATTATCGTACCTTAAAATAAAGTTGTAACTAATTTAGAATATAAAGTGTTTCTTAACGAAAAAATATTACCTCGGAAACGCACTGCAAAAAAAAATTACATTCAATGTGTTTCTTTGATAAATACCAACAGAACAATAACGTAGTAGACTATATAGCAAATGTAGCCTTGGGAAATATTTAAAGGTTCAAAGTCCAGGTGTGTTAAATTAAATCATAATAATTGTCCTAATTAGACAATATAAATATTGACTAATTAAACATTTTTTACGATTTTCGAATGAATGTTTTTTGTGCAAAAGTGGAAATTTTTTATACAAAAAATATGAATAGATAAAACTAATTAGAAATTAAATATATGTATAGTAAGAAAAATAAACAACGCATATCTTGCTTTATTTACCTTGTATTCTAAAACACGCAATTGTAACTTATAAATTGGTAAACAATTATTAAAAATATCCTAAGGGGAGAATTTTATTGGTAAACATCTACTTAAATGTTGTTTACGAAACTGATTGTCATAATTTTATTTTTTTCTTATACACTATATATTATTGTTGATTTCGATCTTTTTAAGAAAATCTTGTTAGTACATATTCTGTTTTTTGTAGATTATCATTAAGATAAAAAAAACAATGTACAAAAATAATAGTCACATAAACAAATTTTGTAAAAATAAAAAAAATATTTTTCTTTTATTCTTTTAGATGTTACTTACTCAAGACCTTACTCCCACATCGTGTACGGAGAACACAAATACAGAACATGTGGGCGAACAACATAACAATACACACCACGAAAAAGAACGCTTCATAAAACAATTCCATTTGGTATGATATAACCGAACACCTTTCTTAATGTTTAAAACCACCGATTGTTTATGATATTTCGATTTTTAATTGAAAACTGAACTCGACTAAACACCTTTGTTAACGTCAACGAAATGACCGTGGTTTCTCGAGAATTGTACGTTTTATCAAGCAATTAAGAATGTTCTACGTAATTGTTCTAACCAAAAATAAAGTTATAAATCTCGTATATGCATTTATAAGTTTTACTATTTACGTACAGCACACTTTTGGTACATAATTTAATATATTATCGAGTGGTTAAAAATTTAATATGATATAATGTTACACATATATTATAATATGATGCAGATTACTAACATAATATATGATACTATAATATCATAATATAGTATTGTAATTAAATTACAGATATGTAATTTAATTTTGTTAATGAAGTTTGTAAACAATATACAGGGTGTTTCTGTAAGTTGTGGCATAATTTTAATCACAAATAGTAGAGTCAAAATGATGACGTGTAAAAATGTTTGGTCTAAACCCCTAAACGCCAAGGATATGGACCTTCAAAGTTAGGAAATTTTTAAATGTTTTCGATATTGTTTGTCTTAGAAAAATAAAATTTGGCCAACAGTGCAATGTTATCATGAGAAATCGTTTAAGATTTAAGACTTTTGAAAATATGCAACCACAGGATCAATGCTATACAGGGTGTTCACAAAGGTTATTTGCTTAAAAGTTTTTTATTATGTCGTAAACCCTTAAATTTTCCAACTGATTCTAAAAGCCCATTTCATTTTAAAATTATTTTCTCTCTTAGAAATTTTTGATCGGACGCAGAGTTCAGCTACTTGCAGTAAAAATGTACTGCAAGTAAAATATTCAGTACTTTTTTACTTTAAGTAGTTTACTGCCAGTACTTTCAAATTGTAGGTACTTAATACTTGTACTTTCAGTATTTAGCTTAAAATATACTGGATACTTGTTACTTGTTTGACATAAGAAGTACTTGAAGAACTATTTATTTACTCCAAATAGTGTATTTACTTCCAGTACATTCAATAGTAAGTAAAATAACAATTTTTTAAAGTTTTTTTTATACCTTACATTTATCATCATACGTATATTAGTTATACATATACTTAACAGTGATAGTTTATACTTTATCATTAACCATTCACTACATAGTGTTCGCTTCATTCCTAATTCCCATCCCATCTCTTTACTATTTCAAAATTTAAATTATGCAAAATAATTCGCAGTTTGTATTTTTGATGGTTAAACATGATCATTAAATCGCTCTTAAAAAATTAGGGAGCTCTAATTTTGAAAAACTGATAAAGGAATCCGACAACCGACATTATTTGACATATTTTGGTCAAATCTGCGAGGAAATCCACCCAGCCGTTTTCGACATAACAGCGTCTTACTAAACCGCGATTTTCCGCGAAACTATATGAAATATCGACAAAATAAAATATGCCACTCATTAACAACACATCAGGCTACCACCTGTTCAAAATTGAAATATTTTCGTACTATAGTTTTCGAGAAAACAAATCGCAAAGTTGACAAAGTTGCCGGTACCGTAAAAAATCGGGTATTTTTTTCATTTAACTCACGATAAAAAGAAATTCCGAAAATTTTCAAATTAACATCTGTTACGTAGAAATGTTCAGTGATTACAACAAACTTTGTCGCATTTTTTTTATCGAACGGTTGCGAAGATATCGATCTCTAAAGTGAGGGGCCTTGACTTTTTGCACGGATAGTAGGGCTGGGCGATACCTCAAATAAGATATCGAGTATCGATACCTACGCGGTATCGATACTATTCAATGTATCGAAAGTATCGAATTATTGGAAATAATATTTTAATAAAGAAAAACTAAAGCATCAAAAACTTTGTTTTACCTTTATTTACGTATTGTATCTAAGTACATTTTTTATGTATTTTTCTTCGTAGATTTTAATTTTGGGGTTAAAATGGTGGGAAGAATAAATCTAAAAAGAAAGGGAAATAAAGTACGCACCCTAACCCTTATTCCCCCTCCATATGCTCTTGATAATTTTTCTCGATTATTGTACTCGTCACGTAAAAATAAGTAGATACGTAAAATTTCGTGTTTTTAACCCTAACGGTTTTTGGAATAATGAGGAATACCTCTTTTATGATAAATATACCTTTACATGAACTTTTCTTAATATTTTTTTTATGTAGAATCCACGCAATTTCCTGTATATAAAAAATATTTTCGATACTTTGCGAGTATCGATACCATCGACAAGTATCGATACTTTGCCTAGCAGTAGACAGCACTGTATAACCTCTATGCATATGAAATATAAACTCGTAACCAAGGGAGGACTAAGGCCTAGGCAACCTAGGCACGTGCCTCGGGGCCCGTAATTTTTGGGGGCCCGAAAATTATATTTTTCATTTTTTTTTTATTTAACAGAAAAACGTGATATTCATAATTATTGCTGAAACGTATCCAAATTATGCCGAATCGTTGATTGATAAAGTCGACAAATGTGGACGAGCGGTCCCGTGCTTATGCATCCAACCACGCCCGCGAGTGCCAATGTGTGTAAATTCGATCGAGCCTTTACTATGCAAGTGTTTAAAAAGTCAAACGTAGTTATTTAAAATCAGTGTCTCCTGAATGTATTGCATCTTATGTGAGTTGTGATTGAAAATTGTGCAATTAAAACTAGTACCTAGACTTGATTGTAAACAGATTGTTTTGGATTCATAGTTAATACTTTCTGGAATTCCTAAAATAAAGATGTAAGTTTTTATAAAAGTATTACATTATTTAATTAAAATATTTATATTATAGGTATATATAATATAAAATACCACAAATTGTGATTTTGTTCTTTCTTTTTAGGATGTAGTATTTAAAATGAGTTCCTATAAACATTTAAGTGGAAGTGAAAAAAGAAAACGAAAAGCAGATCGAGATGAAGTGGCTAAATAAATGAAAAGATCGTTGGACAAATTTTTAACTGTAGATGAAGAACAATTACAACAATCGTCATCATTTTCACAAATTTCACCTACTCAAACTCCAGAAACATCATTTGTGTCCGAAACTATTCTGCAAAAAGACCAGCAGGAAAAACCAAGCAATTCCATTTATGAAGATGAAATAAAAAGAGGAAATATAAATTTAAAATCATCTCAAAGTAATGATGAAACTAAGAGTTTTGTAAACAATATTGCATTATGGCCAGAGCCAGAACACTTAACAGACGCCATGCGAGAGAATTATATAAAAAATCCACCAAAATCAATAAATGGATCTTTGGAATCATCTTCTATTCCATGCAACGAAGGGTCAAAACAAATTACAAGAAAATTAACTATTGCCTCCTTCTTCAGAACAATTAATAGCGGGGAAAAAGTTACGTCTAAAAAGTCTGTAAATTATTTTCCAAGCAAACAACGCTAATGACGAAAAGGACGAATGATTGGAAAAATGTACATAAAAAATTGTCAGAGCATGAAAACTCGAGTGACCACATTAACTCCATTTTAATTTTTATAACAAGATCAAAAATTACCGGACGCATTGACACTGAACTAGAAAAACAAACTATAAATGAAAAAAATATTGGAGGGAAATACTTAAACGTGTGATAGTGACAATCAAATGTATTTCTTCATACTCTTTAGCGTTTCGTGGTAAAAATGAAGTGTTTTTTAGTGAAAATAATGGTAATTATATAAGTGCTTTGGAATATTTATCCGAGTTCGATCCATTTTTTTTACTATAAACTATTTATCGTCTACAATATGTGATGAATTTATTTCTATTATATCGAAAGATTTACAACTCAGAATAGTGAACGAAATAAAGGAAGCCAAATTTTACTCTTTTATTATAGATTCAACACCTGATATATCTCACGTAGATCAGCTGACCGTCTTTATTCGCTATGTTCTTCCAAGTGGTATAAAAGAAAGATTTTTGGGATTTCTACCTATACTTTCTCATACTGGTGAAAACTTGGAGAAAGTTATTTTAACTAACTGTCGGGGACAGAGTTATGATAATGCGTTTAATATGTCAGGTAAATATAAGGGACTCCAATCCAGAATAAAACAACATATTTTTTCTGCCCATTTTTCGCAAATCATTCATAAAATTTAATTGGAACGCTGCTGCAGAAAGTTGCATAGAAATAACCACTTTTTTCAATACCGTTCAGCAATTGTACGTATTTTTTTCAAGTCCTACACATAGGTGGAATGCATACAAAAATGTTGTAAGAGCAAACACTGGTGTATCAAACCTATTTGTGACACCAGGTGGTCTGCTCGTTCCGATGTTGTGAAATCCTTAAAGGAAAATTATGAAGAAATTAAACATTGTTTACGTCATTTTTCCTCAAACAAAGATGAGAAACCATTAACAAGGTCCGAAGCTGCCGATTTACATAAAAAACTTGATACATTTGAGTATGTACTGTTACTTACTATATGGGAAAAGATTTTAGAGAGAATAGATGCTTCAAACAAGACTGTTCAACAAAAAGACGAATCCCTAAATACAGCAGTTTTAATATATGATTCATTGATAGACTTCATACAAACTGTTAGAGATGATTTTGACAATTTTGACAAAAATTTTTGACAATGATAAAAAACGGCAGAAAATACGAAAACTATTTCATGATGAAATTTCAGAACATGAAATAAGCTTCAGTGGGAAAGAACATTTTAAAGATAATATTTTTTTTGTTGTATGCGATTCTTTAATTAGCAACATTAAAAAAAGATCTAAGGGATATAAAACATTAACAATAAATGCAAAACAATTTTTCATGATAGTTATGGTGACTCTTCAATAGAGGAATTAAAATATTATGAACAAGATTTATACCTAGCAGAACTGAAAAATGAAGTATTACAATTTAAGACTTTTATAAGTAAAGAAAATATTTCGGCTGTGTCCATTATTTTTTATTCAGGAAAATAATATTATTGCAACATTCTCTAATTTAAACATAATTTTGAGAATTTATTTAACCCTTCCAATAAGCAATGCAAGCGGTGAAAGATCATTCCAGTAATGACCAGAATAAAATATTTTTTAAGATCCACATTAAGCCAACAAAAATTAAATAGTTTATCATTACTTTATATAGAAAAAGAGATATTAAATAATCTATTAATTATGACAAACTAATTGACGAGTTTGCAGAATTAAAAGTGAGAGAAAAGGCAATATAACTAATCAATCTGGGTATATTTGTTTAAGTATTATTGTTTGTTTTAATAAATTATGTTTATCTGCGACTGCTTGGATAAGTCATCATTACCGCATTCATTTGAGGTGATTTGAGTTACGTAATGAAGTTCATTACCGCACTGGTTTCATTACATAACGCATTTTTAGCCTAATCAGAACAGACTTAATTTATTGAAACGAGCAACAATACAAAAGAAAAAGTGCTATCTACTTACAGAGAAACAATACTACTTATTACAAACATTAATTGTTATGTTTTTACATTTCGAAACACTTATTCCAGATGAGTAAACATGTTGTTGAAACTGACAATTCAATATTGTCAACAATCATTTCAAAATATTTTTATAAATGTCAAATAGACTTTAAAGAAATTGATTTTTTAGTAATGTTTAGCAGTCGTAGATAAAATGCTGTATATCACACATGGGCTAGAGCATAATTACTGTACGAGTGTGGGAAATTGCACGACGAGGTCGTAGACCGAGTCGTGTAATCACACGAGTACTTCTAGCCCACTTGTAATATAAATAACTATTATTTAATTTTTGTACATGTATATTTTTTTTCCTTTTTTTTCTTGGAATCCGATAATTAAATAGAACTACATACTATATGCTTTAAAACCAAACTACCAAACGCAAAGTATGTGTCATGACTGAAAAACCTCAAAAATAGGCCCGGAATTACAATGTTGCCTAGGGCCCGCTTTAGCCTTAGCCCGCCAGTGCTTGTAACTCACATAGGAAAAACCAAGAATACGAAAGAACATGTATAATATTAAGCTTAAATACAAAAGTTTGCTCAAGTAACTATTAAAGTTCAGTATGGAATAGTAGTAATGTTTCAAAGTTTCTTTGGAAGGGACAAAAATTACACAAGAGTTTGCTATAATATCCGCTCTACAATATCACTCCATTTAAAAATTTTCAACAAAAACAATACAAAATTAGAACAACATAAATAACACAATATGTTATTACATCAACCCAATTAATTTAACAGACTCAATAAATATTATCCCTAAATTAAAAGGATGAATAATACATGCGGAAGTTAATTACTTACTTAAAAACTTACTTCCACATCGACTTCTTAATCTGCACACGCACAAAATGTGAATAACAAATAAAATGATGCAAAACATAAAAAAGAACGGTTCATAAACCATATCCATCTTCACATAAAAATTTATAATGTTTTAAACTTAAACGATATTGCCTTTACCAACACTATTACTATACTACAGTAAGCGCGGGTTTTCCCACGTAATATACGCATTTTATCTTAGTTATTAACACCATGTCGAATAAACATTATCAAAAATCTGAGAGGACGAACAATAATCAACGTGAACTTGAAAATATTAAGCGATTATTATAAAATGTGCAAAGACCGGCGTAAAAATAACAAGATTCCGTTAAAAATTGCAACAACAATATTTTTGTATCTCGAAACTATTAAAAGGATTTTTTACGTAAATGCTTAAGTATATGTAATCATAAAATATTTATTACTTAAAGGAAAAATTTATACTCCTAAGAAAACTGGCATTTATGATGTAATTTCCATGAAGAAAAATAACGTCTACAATAGACTTTAATCATCAATAACCTTCAATATCATTTGACCCCCAAAAAGAAATTTTTGGTTTGTTTTGAATGTGCTGATAACATTACCAATCACAGTTAAATTTTATAAAACTCTTAAACAATCATATTTAATTTAAAAAACATTTATTTGAACTAAACCATTTTAGTGATAAAATTATTAACATCTGTTTATAGTAACTCTCTAAGTTTTCTTCTTAATATTTTTCCAGATTGAGTTTTTGGTAACTCATCTAAGAAAATTATACCACCATATAACCGTTTTTGTTCAGAAACTCGTGCTAAAACAATAATTTTTTAAAATTATAATTTAAAATTGACAAATTTTAATATTTACATGACACATATTCCACTAGTTCTTGTTCTGATACTTCTGCGTTTGATTGTTTCACTACAAAAGCAACCGGAACTTCACCAGCGCGTTCATCTTGCTTACCAACAACTCCTGCCTCTTTAACACTAGGATGTGATATCAAAATATCTTCAAGTTCTGCAGGAGGAACCTAAAATAATTAAATTTATTTAAAATTAATTTAATAAAAATAATTAATCAAACCTGAAATCCTTTATATTTAATCAACTCTTTTAATCTATCAACAATAAAAAAGTCACCATCTTCATCATAATAAGCAACATCGCCACTATGCAAAAACCCATCCTCATCAAAAGTCATTTTAGTGGCCTCTTTATCCCCATAATAACCTTGAGTAACCATTGATCCTTTAAAACACATTTCTCCACGCTGATTAACTCCAACTGGTTTTCCAGTATCTATGTCAATTACTTTAGCTACTAAACCAAGAATTAATCTCCCAGCCGTTCCCGGTTTGGTACAATTTTTAACTTGAGCCGTAGCAACTCCGCAAATTTCCGTTAAACCGTACGCTTGTCGAACGACTCCTAAACGTTTTTCTAGCATTTCTTGGATGTCATGCCCTAGAGGTGCTGCAGAACAAAAAATTGCTTTTATACTAGACACATCGAAACTGGAAACTATTGGGTGTTTCGCCAAAAAGATGGCTATTGGTGGAACGACAAATAATCTGGTCACTTTATAGGTTTGAATGGATTTTAAAAAAACGTCAGGTTTGAAGGTGCCCATAACGACAACTTTCGTCGAAAAAGTAATTGCTCCCAATGTACAGAAAAGCCCGAAAACGTGAAAACAAGGTACCACTCCGATTATTACATCTCCTTTTGTCATTCCAGCGTACTCATCCTCACTTAAAAAAAATTTTGTTGATTACAAATTAAGATTCGTAGATATGATAAGAATACTGTAAGTAATGAAGGGTAACTCGAAGATTTCGATGAGATAACATAACTCCTTTTGGCAATCCCATTGTTCCAGATGAAAGTAGAATCGATTGGAGACAATCAACATCTAAATCAACAGGTTGAAAATTTTTAACATCTTCATCTACTTTTATAAAATCTTGGTAACGAATTACGGCGCCATCGCCAGTTTCTCCAAATACTATAACTTTTTCTATATAATCAACTTGACTTTTTACTTCTAAAATCGTTTTTAAACATAGTGTTGATGTGAATACCAGTTTAGGTTTCGTTAAATTTGTGGAATGAATCATTTCTCCTACACGAAAAAATAATTTTTTTAAGTAAATTTTTTATTTGTTTTTTTTTTAATACTTACTCGTTACATACATAGGATTTGATGGACATAATATAGATCCTATGTATAAACTAGCAATAAGAGGGACGCAATATCTAATTGTATTTTCACTAGCAATAGCAATTTTATCACCCTTTTTAATACCATGATTCTTTAAAGCTATAGCAACTTGAATACTTTCATTTAGAAGTTCGCCATACGTCAAAGTATCCCCACTAAATGCATCCACCTAAATAATTTTTTTTTAAATGGGATAAATATAAATAATTAATAAATAAAATAAATATTATAAAAAAAATAAATACTATAATTCTAATCTTGCGTTTAAACAATTTTTAAGATAACTTGAGCACTCGAAATAGACAATTACCTTAATTAAAACTGATAGAGAAAAGATATCTTACCAAAGCGACCGCATTCAAATCGTTTTCTTGTAACTTCTCATACACGAATTTTCCCATAGACGTTAATGGGATCGTTGAGTCATCGGGAGGTCCGTATAATAATTGTTCAGACATTATTTTTTGTGATTTATGACAAGTATTAACTGTCGCGAACAACTCTGAATACTAACTAAAAAATTTGACATACGCGCCTTTGCTGTATTGTAGTATGAGTGGTCCTTTAACGATAAGGATCGTTGTCAGTGGAGATTTATCATAAAATAAACACGTTACGAAGCATATAGAGGTAAAGAGGAAAAATTCTATTGAATTTAATTTTGAAAACTAAATAAAGATATACAGTGTCCGCCAAAAAGTCAGCAACACCCGTTTCATTTCTTTTCCATTGTATCTACGTTTCTGAAATTTAGTTTGTATAGGAGGTTTATATCAATCTTTCGATCTAAGGTATTTTCAAGATGGTTCCCACTTCCGGTCCCCCGGAAGAAGACCACAACTTCGTTATTTTAAATGGAATGCTATAGCTTTTATTGCACCTTTTAATTATATGCGAAAAAATAAGTTGACTTTGATAAAGGTTATTGGTACCAAGCGTTTTTCGTTTTCGAGTTATTTTGGTTTTAAGTTTTTCTTTGCAATTTTCTCCTTGCCCTTTAAAACTCCATATCTCAGCAAACGTTCATTCAAAAAAGCTCTAAATTGGCACGATTACTCTTCAAATGCTGTCAAATATATTGTCATTTGCTGTATCACAGTATCTTATACAGGCTGGTCAAAAAGTGAATTACCTTTTTTCCACATTCAATGGCAAGAAAGTCGAAAATTTTAAATGGTACGCCCCACATTTTATTAGCTCACCAGAAAGGGAGTTTGCCATTTATTAGGCCATGATATTTTGGCAGTTTTTCGTTTAATTTATTTTTACAATTATATATTATATATATACAATATTATTTATAAATTATTTGAGGAACATTATAAAGACACAAACATAGCTTCTGATATCACATCACTTGTCAAATTTACTATTCAACAGAATTATTGAAAATTTAACGAAAAATTTCATATGACTCTTACCATCCTAAAGCGCCCTTCACACGATCAATATACAGGGTGTCTCACGTAACTGGTTCGTTACAACTTTTTCAGGTTCCACTATTCGTAGAGATTTGAAATTTTGGTAGCATGGGTTGCTCATTCGGAACTTTCAGTCTAAAACATTTTCAAGATGGCCGCCACTTCCGGTCTACCGGAAGTAGACCATAACTTCGCTATTTTAAATGGAATGCTATAGTTTTTATTACACTGCTTAATTGTACGTAAAAAAATAGGTTGACTTTGATAAAAGTTATTGGTACCTAGCGTTTTTCGTTTTCGAGTTATTTTGGTTTTAAGCTTTTCTTGGTAAATTTCAACATACTCTTTAAAACTTCATATCTCAGCCAACGTTCATTCAAAAAACATCTACGTTGACACGATTACTCTTCAGATGTTGTCAAATAGATTGTCATTTGTTGTATCGGAGTATCTTATTACAGACTAGTCAAAAATTGAATTACTGTTTCTCCATATTCAATAGCGAGAAAGTCGAAAATTTTAAATAGAACGCCCCATATTTTTTTAGCCTATCAGAAAGAGAATTTAATTCTCTACAAATTATCTATAAACATTCCCATACTTATTTATTGTAGTTTGCTTCATATTGCAAAATTTATTAAAACATGCACGAAATGCAGGTTTTTTATTAGAAAACTATGGAATTTTGACAGTTTTTGGTCCATGTTTGTATTAGTGTTGTCATTAGTTACATTTGACGGGTGGAAGTCATTGAACATCATGGTAAATTATTCCAACGCTGATATTTGAAATTTATTTTGTATTGATGGCGAATGTAATAATCTTTTGGACAGGACGTGTCGAACACTTAATGAGAGATGCCTAACAAACCTAACGCCCATCACAAGGAAAAATTTCAAAAAATTGATAAAGAATTTCTTAGATTTGGATATATCGAGACCAAAAGAATGCGATTTCTTTTCCGGTCACCAATGATGAAGACAACGAAATAAATATTATATCATACTTTTTTGAATTTCCAAATTCAATTTAATAACAAATTTATATTATAAATTTATATTTTTATTCAAATCTAATTTTTGTCATTAACTTTTTGTTTTAATAGTTTAATTTATTTGATCTTCTGTTTGTTATTTTTGGTAAGTAAAAGCTAGTAAACTAAAAGATTATCAATCGTAGTTAATAGTACAAATAATAATAGAAATAAATTAAACAAAAAACTGTCAAAATGTCATGGCCTTCTAATAAAAATACAAACAATAGGTTTCCTGCATTTCCTGCATGTTTTGATAAATATACGAATATGAGAAACTATAATAAATAGGTATAGGAATATTTATAGATAAATTGTAGAGAATTAAATTCCCTTTCGTGTAGGCTAATAAAATATGGGGCGTTCCAATCTATTTGAGAGCATCTGAAGAGTAATCGTGCCAATTTAGAGCTTTTTTGAATGAACGTTGGCTGGGATATAGGGTTTTAAAGAGCATGGTGAAATATGCCAAAAAATCTTAAAATCAAAATAACTCGAAAACGAAAAACGCTAGGTACCAATAACTTGATAACTTCATAAACTTTCCGTATTCCAATTGTACATCTACAGAATGCTAAGATACCCTATTAATACAACTTCTATACAAAACGAATTTGATTTCATAAATAACCTACCTCAATGTCACAGCCAGCATTTCTTTAGGTTGAATACAATTTCTCATTTTTGTATTTTGACGTTGAAGAACGTCCTTCAACTTGTCAAGTAATTCATCAAAGGAAGCTGACATCAGGAAATAATTAAAAAATTTATCTTCATCATTCCGTAGGTCCTCAAAAAGTTTTCTAAATATGTTTTCTTTATCTCTTCTTAAATTAATTGGATGAACCCAAAAACGACGACGTTTCTGTCTTTTTTTACGACGATAAAGTAACCACAATAATGCAATAACTTTAACTTTATCGCGTTTCATTGCAACACGCTGAAAGTATAACCTATAGAAGTAATATTAAATATATACACTATCACTTTACTAAACTCAACCAACGGTAATAAAACGTTGCGTGTGGAACCAAGCTCATTTTTGGATGTCCGGATAAATACCGGCCGTTATTTTGCCGGACGTCCAAAATCCGGCCTAAAGGTGGCAAAAGTTGCACCTGTTTTTAAAAAAGGAAACTTAAATAACATCAAGAATTTGAGACCTATTCCTGTATGTAGTGTGTTTTCAAAAATTTTTGAGAGTATAGTGGGGGATAGACTACTCAATTTTTTTAATAAATATGAAGTCTTGTGTCCGTCCCAACAAGGTTTTCGTGAGGGTCTATCGACTGAAACTGCCACCGTTCATTATTTCTCGTATGTATATGAACATCTTGATAAAGGTGAGTACATGATGGGTATCTTCTTTGACGTGTCCCGGGCATTTGATTCTTTACCACCAGTCTTCATTGAGGAAAACTTGTATAACGTGGAAATTCGTGGAAATCTACTTAGCTGGTTGGTCTCATTCGTCACGAATCGTAGTTTGAAGGTCTGTCATCTGCTAATCTCGGTGTGCCTCAGGGTGACACCTCCTTTGCTGTTGCTGCTGATGATCCGGCTGGATTGGTCGAGAAAGTTGATCAGGTAATGAAGTATTACTGGTATACCCGCAATAGAATAATATTGAATGTGAAAAAGACGGTGTGTGTGAATTTTCGTGTTCGTCACCCCCTCCCCTTAAAATACGTTGATGGGATTAACATTCAGGATGAAATAATTTTCTTGGGTCTGTCTGTTGATGCCAGTCTAACCTTTGAGTCACATGTTAGCAACGTTTGCAAAAAGTTAAATTCAGCATATTTCGCTATACTTAAGCTTAAGCCATCTTTGGACAGGCAATCGCTTCTGGATGCTTATTATGCTCTGTGTTATTCTCATCTTGCATATAATAACCTCTTATGGACCAGAACTGCAGATTGGCGTCGTGTTTGTTGCGCAAAAGCGAATTATCAGATTGATCTACGGATTGGAAGTTGGTGAGTCGTGTAGGGTGGTCATTAGGCACCATGGCATTTTGACATTCCCTTGTATTTACATTCTAAAAGAAGTTGTATACGTGAAAATAATCGAGATAGGTTCGTGGTGTCCACGGTTAATAAATATGATACGAGTCACGACCGCCTTCCGCTGAGAAGTCCACAATATGACTTTGCAAAGTTATTTAATAATTTACCCTTATCAATTAAAATCATCGAGTTATCGATTATCTCATTGAAAATGTGTTCTACAGCCTGCAGGTGTATCTCTCTGCAAGCCGTGTCGAATAACGAGTGTATTGTTGTCTTTCCTATTTTTCGATACTTAAAATTATTATTTTGTATTTTTGCATCTATGTATGTGTTTACTTATTTACCTACTTTTATGATACTGTGACTGAGTAGATATATGAAATAAATAAATTAATTAGAATAAATTAATAGATGCCGATGTGAACTTGTGGCTTGTTAGATATCTTTATATTTTTGTAAACCATAGATGTAGAAACGTATATGACTTGTCACTATTGTAGCACTGAGATTTAATAAATATTATTATTATAAATATTTAATAAATATTATTATTTGGAGGTATTACCTGCTTGATATTCATCAACCCTTTCAAACATTATCTTAGGAAACTAATGCATCCCATATTGGGAATATTGGCCTCTCGGTGGTGTTTTTTATCATACATTATGGATACTAGGAAACTTTATGGGTATGATTTTATTGTGAGATTTATTGTTCTCTGAATCCGTGATAATGATTTTATCGATTTTTACATAAGGTAATATTACATCGTTTCGTTTGTTGAATGATGCTTTGAATTTACTGGAAGCGTCTACATCAAACAATTTGCAGGATGTTGTGCCACTTTTACCATATTCAAGTGATTAAAGACTTAAAAGCGATGCGGAAGACAAGAAATAGCTGGTGAAGTAGAATTACATGATAGGAAGAATTCGATAAAACCTTTGACAAACAGACAGTTACGGTGGAGAAAAAAAGAAGATGTAGCTAGCCCTATTGATGAAATTGAATCGGAAAAGGTCGGAATTGAGCACGCTGCAAAATCAGAATATAAAATTTTATTAAAGATAATAAATCAAACGAATCTTTCGCAACAAGCGATCAAAATCAACACAATTTCAAAGTCTCTAAAGAAGAGATTTCTCAGTTTCTTAGATTGTTGTTGATCAGTGGCACAGTCTTCCTAAAGAAAATGATTATTATTCAACAGCAGATGACCTGAACACCCCATTTTCTTCCAAAACGTTGAGTATAGAACGATAGAGAGAATATACAGTTACAGTAGATTGTACAAAAATCTGTACAATCAATTAATTATTAGCCTAAATTTGTACAAACAACTAATACATTTGCACTTCTTTCATTGCTTTTTTACTTTTAAAATTAATACCAACTCTACACCGTACTTACTTGAATACTTAAAGCTGTCAAGTGGGTAAAAAGTCTTAAACAAATAAAAATAATAATAAAATTCAATATACCACGAAAATCTTTGCGTGAAATCGTAAAAATAATGAAGCACAGCAATTCTGCTTACAATACGTGGTACGGAATTATAAAAAGACAGGCGAAGTTAACAAAGCACTACGAAATATAATTGGATCGAAGCTAACAATAAGAAATTATTCATTAATACGAAGTCAAATATGTAAGGATTCTACACTTCACACTTGCTATAACAGTCTTGAACATGGTGGAACAAACTTGGATTTAAAAGTTGGTATGCTGTTAGAAAATCATAAGTAGGATTAATAAAGAAAAACGCCAAAATAAAGATTTTAACCTCTGGAAAATATGTAGTAATGTTCACAGATGAGTCTAAATTCAATATAAAAATATCCAACAGACGAGTAAGAATTTTGCGAGAGAAAAACAAGACCTTATATCCACATAATCTAATACCTACGTTCAAACGTGGTGGAAGCTCGGTGATGGTATGGGGATATTTTTCAGCGGCAGGATTTGGCAATCTTCATTTCATAGATGAAATATTGATAGCGAAGGGGTATGTAAACATTTTGAAAAAAGAAATGAAACAATGTACAGAAAAATTAGGACGTTTGTGAGACTTTATTTTTCAACAGGATCCCAATCCTATTATCAATATTGAAGATGAAACTGAAACATTACGATATTAGAAACGTAATCGACTTAAAAATAGCGTTCAAGACAGAATGAACTAAAATACCATCTCAATTAACCATTAAACTAGTGGAATTGATACAGAGGTGTTTAAGTGCTGTTGTTAAGCAAATAGGCTATCCAACAAAGTATTACTGTTATTCCAAATGTAGGTATAATTTTCTTATGCATTCTTAAAGTTTGTACTGTACGGATACGGTTTATGTTGTCAACTGTGATTAAAATGTTCTTTACCGTTCAATAATCGGGATTAAGGTATCCAAGATATCTACTTTTGCTTTCACTTTTCTAAGTGAAATAAATCATAAAAAATATTTGAAATTTGTGCTACCTTTCTGAAGTAATTCGAAATTTTCGGTGGGTGGACCAACATGGATTTTGCATACTGTATTGTATACGGAACAACTCTTTATAATAGGGGTGACACAATTAATGGAAACATCTTCTGCGTTTAGGGGGTCCTTTAGGGGATCCTTTAGGATACTCTTGATTACTAGATCTGGGAAGTGATTATAAATATAAATAGTGATTAAGGTTTAAGTAATATCACAGTCATATAGTTAGTCATCAGTTATATATTTCTATATTTGACTAGTTATCACAATTATTGCCATTTATTCTTACTTAATATCACATTTATTCTAGTTTTGGACTTTGTTATCATATAAACTAGGTTAATTGGTAGAATGACTCGTTTTTCTCGTATACTCATCAACTTTTGTCGATGTGCGTCTAGCGTTCGATGTCATTATTTGCAATGGTTAAGATATAGGTACCAATCATTTGATGAATAAGCATGGCCTTTAAGGATTTGGGCAGCTATACTATTGAAAGATGTGTTGTCTGTTGTTTTCTTCAATTTTCCACAAAATTCTTATGGCGGATAGAACGATCCTTCATCGTATTCCATTTGTGAGCCAATACTTTGGACTTTCCTAACTTTCTGTGATGGTCTTTCCATCAAGGGACATTTATTTGTTTCGTTATATTTTCTGGGGGAAGTGATGTTTTTTATATGATTTTTTTGTTTCAATTGTTTGTCCAGCTTCTCTTTGTTGATGATTTGTTTAGGTTGGGTTGTTTTAAGTTCTCGGAACCTTCCCTAGTCCATCATTACCTGTGTAAGAATTGTTGATTGAAAATAATATCGGCCAGAATTGATGACCATACGGACCCGATTTATGACATTTTCCAACACTCATGATATTCATGATATTCCGGTGATAAGTTCTCGTATTCTTGACGGATATTCTCTTTCAGGGCTTCAAGAGTCTGACGTTTGTGAACACATACTCGTCACTTAAAAAAAAACTCCACAAAAAAAGTCTGGTTAAATCGAGCAATCTTGCCTGCCAGTACAAATCGCGAAAATGAGAGATAAGGCGACCCGGACATGCAGCCCTCAGAATTTCAGTTGTGGCTCGTGCAGTATGCGCCGTTGCTCCATCCGGTTGGAAACACATGTTCTCTAGTCCCAATTCATCCAATTCCGGAAGGAGAAAGTCGTTGAATGTAGCGATATTCTCAGCAGAACGGCTGCTTCGGAGCCGACAGATCTGGCAGAAATAGCATCTCGTGTTGTCCTATACTGTTGCTGTCGGACGACCAGAATATCTGCGCCGAAATTCACGCTGCGCCAACACCAATTACTCCGTAAAAAATCGATACAATTATTCCGCGTTCTTGCGTGTATTTTGTATATGTTACTTCACAAATGTGAAAGCAGAATTGATATTAGCCGCCATTTGCAAAAATAATAGTAATTACAATAAACAACAAACCGCTTCCAAAAGAAAACTTTTATATACAAGCTTGTCCAAAGTTAAGAAGTAGAACAAGCAGCGATAAAGACCTTTTTCCATTATAATGATTAGTTGATATCAATGAAGTTAATGTAATTTTGATATGCAGATACGGCATGTAATTCTATAGATGTCTTTGAATAGAACAGTTAATTATTTTGGTAATACTTCAAAGTGTACAAAAACCAGTAATAAACAATGTAGGGAAATGCCTATGATGACTCGTCTTAAAACGTGGCAGCAGTACAATTTTTTATACAGGGGTAATTTATTAGCTCACCATCAAACTTTGACATATGATAGTTAATCCAATTACTAAAAAAAAATGTTAATGAACATTTGTCCTATTTCAATTATTTACGAAATTATACACTTTAAAGTTTTAATTTTTATATCAGAATTAACTGCTACATTTTTTTTAAAACACATAAATATTACAAATATTGTTCAAAATAGCCTCCTTTTACCAAAATACATGCTTCACAACGACGAATTAAAAAGTTCTTCAGCCGAATTAAAATGTCTGGTTGATTTCTTGTTTCAGCAGCAGCCGTATGTATTCTGTTTAATAATTGTTCCCGTGTGTTAATTTCCACTTGATACACAATTTGTTTCATTTGACCCCATAAGTAGAAATCCAACGGATTGAGGTCGGAGGATATAGGTGGCCAAGCAATGATGGTCCATATTATTACCAATCCACTTGTTTGGAAAATATTGGTTTAACCACTCGACAACTACTCTTCCGCGATGAAGTGGGACACCATCGTGCTGGTACCACATATTTTGAATTACATTAAGAGATATATCTTAAAGTAAATAAAAAAGTGTATTAAAAATCTGTAATTTACAGCTTTCAAACGTCCATCAAGTACATGCAAACCTAGTAAATTGTTGTTAAATATTCCACCCCAAACGTTGATGCTGAAACCATGTTGAAATTTCCTTGGTTTAATCGCATGCGGATTTTGTGATGCCCAGATATGTTCATTATGGTAATTATTTATACCATCTCGTGTAAAACATTATTCATCTCTCCAGAGAACATTTGAAATGAAGTCATTATTTTGGGCATGTTGCTGCAATGACCATTCACAAAATGCTAACCGTTGCTGATTATCTCCTGGCTGTAGAGCTTGAACATTCTGTTTACGATACGGATGAAGGATTTCGCGATTCAATACGCGCCATGCAAAATTTTGACTTATATGTTGTGTGCTATTCTTCGAGTGCTGCTGGAAGAATTATCAATGACGGCATTAATTACAGCTTCTTCGTCCTCTATTTTAACTACATGCGCTCGAATAGCTTTTGCTGGAGCAGGATCACCTGTTTTTCGAAGTCTTCTGAAAGAATCGCTAAAAACTGAATAATATGGCAAATGATGTTGTGGAAATCTTTCTTGATATTCTCGTACTGATTGTCGAGCATTTCCATTGCAAAAACCATACACAAAAATTATATCAGCATACTCTGCAGTGCTATAGCCGTACATTTTGAGTTTCTTCTTGTATGTAATAATTAAACCTTACAGCAAACTAACATACTACAATGACAACTCTGTTTTTGTTGAATGTTTGATTTTACTGACTATTAATAAATTCGCTGCAGAAAACTTTAAAGTGTTATAATTTCGTAAATAATTGAAATAGGATATTATGTTCATTAACATTTTTTTTGGTAATTCGATTAGCTATCATGTGTCAAAGTTTGATGGCGAGCTATTAAAGCACCCTGTATATAAATAATATGAAAAGTGTTTTATTACATTACAAATGGTGATATTAACATTTATAAAGATTACAATTTCTTTCTATACATCTAGAAGTTGCCCTCAACAAAAATTGCATCTGTTTCTACTTCTGCTTTATAAAATACGTGTATTAAACAAGACATTGGTGCTTATTAAATTTATACAGAAATGAAAACGATGTTTAAATGTCCTTTTAATGTTAAATCTTTATAAACCCGAGATACTCAATATGGACATTAGAGAACACAACATCTTCGTATATATTCTAAAATATTTTAAATAGATATTGTCAGTTTAACGTATTTTTCACTGCTGGATGATGGGTTGCGGTATCCAACTGTCGCTTTAATTTTTGAGAGAACATTTTTTCTAACGCGGCTCCATAAAGTGGTGTTTGTTTAGCATTTTTTGTGTTAACTTGTAATACTTCTTTATCGGTTTCCTGCCAACGAGGTCTTTCGCCGTTAAGTTTCGCTTTAGTTTCGCCAAATCGATTCGCTTTGATATCGTTTAATCGATCACCTTGGGTTTTTTCCATTTCTAATTTATCTTTGTGTTTTTTTTTTCGATAGTACTCGTCTATTTCCCCAAAATTTCTCGGCCCTTTTTGTAACTTATCCGTCTGACAATTGACGTGTTTCGTTCCCACTATAACATTATCGCTTCGATTTTCATCGTTCAATTGCAATTGAGGTTTCGATAACAATTTAGTAAACCTGTACAATTCACGTTCTTTATCGGCTTCGGTTCGTTTTCTTTCAGATTCCGGTCGCTTTTGTTTCGAAACGTTAAGGAGGGGTTTTTGAGATAGAGGTGTAAACCTTGGGGGTGCTGGAGATGGCATACGGAATTTCTTTTTGTCTTCGGCGTTTTTTATATTTTTTTGTGCTAATATTATCATGCGTTTTCGTTCTAATGGCCATTCTTTACTGTACACTCCGAAACGAAATTTTGGGATTTTATCGCCATCGCCGAAATGGTTCATTCTATATTGAGTACCTTGCTTCCAAAGCCACGGTTCTATCTTTTCCAACCATCCTTGTTGTTGGCCTATTACCGATCCCGGTCTGCATATTCTCATCCAAGCAATTGCTTCTCTGGCTGAAAGATGATAGTGCTTGATAATGTAGGCGCCTATTAAAGACCCAGTTCTTCCTAAACCAGCCTAAAAAAATCGATAATTGAGAAAGATAAGATATTGGTTTACAAACATTAAACTCAAAAGTGAAGTGAATCTACTTGAGTGGTTGTTTTAACTGATTCTTTTACCATTGGTTAAAAAAATAACGTGTGAGTTAATTAACCTCATTTTTTAAGATGCATGATAAAAGTTGTAATTAAAAAAATTCCTTACCTTACAATGAACGGCAATTGCTGCTGGACTATGTTCGGAAATATCTAAAAATCTCATCAGGATTGGTTTTGTAGGAGTTGTTCCATCAGCAAAGAACAATTCATAATGAGCTATACCAGCTTGAATAAACCTAAAAAATTTTATTTTAGGAATAATTTTATATAAAAATTAAAAGACTTACGCGTTTGCATCATAAACTTTGTTATTTAACCTAATTACACTTTTAACATCGTTTCTTAAAAAGTATTTGAGATAAAATTCCGGTGCATGCCCGTTCATAAATTCACAATCAGTAGGTCCAATAAACGCAATAAATTTTCTCGGCAGCAACCAGTTTAAATCCCCATTTTGGATTTTATCATACGTATCGTATTCTAAACAGTTAAAATCTTTAAAATTGAAAAAATTAAATGCTCTAGCTTTTTCTATTGCTTGGAAACAATCCAGAAGACGTAACGTGTAAGATGAAACTCCTTGTGAAGCATCTACAAAGTTCCTAAAATTTAAAATTAAATTTATTAATTTGAAACGAAAAATTTGTTAATAATTACTTATAAACACCTCCAGCACTTAAAAGGGTTTGATAAATTTTTCTTGGTGGCATATTCAAATAAATAACAGCAAAGCATCCGATTAAGTAAGCAGCGTTAGCTCTTTTTCTAGCATCGGCTGAAGCATAATAAACGATTCTTTTTATCGTAGGTGAAGAAAGATAAGAATTAAGTTTACAACAAAATTTGTATAAACACGATAAATTTAATGGACCAAAATCGAAGTAATAATTCATGTAAACGAATTCTTCATCTGTACAAAAATATATAGTTTCCGTCGTTGATTGTATCGTCCTAAATCCTTCACTGTACGTACTACCAAAATATAAACGTTCTTTAACGATTTCCGCAATGTATTCGATTTCCGAGTCGTAATAGAAACTGTTTTTAGATTCCATCCCGTACGTATTCAGGATCTCCTGGTATTGAAAATTCTTTGGCGGCCACTGGTCATAATTTCGTTGCAGCATCAGAACCGTTTCTTTCCCGCCTTAGGGAAAAAGGTAACAGGGCCGTGTTGTGTCGCTGCAAAGAAGGACAAACACGAAGAAGTGAATGGAATAATTTACCAGTATTGTTAAGACGATTGAAATAGTTTTACGGATGACTTTATTCATATTTCGAATTTAGATTGTCCCAAACTGTCAAAACCATATTTTTGTTTTTGTGTCATGTTCTTGTCAGATATAATAACCATGGATAAGATGTCATTTATAATGTCATTGATTTTTTTTCGACAATACTGGTTTCTATTGTTAGTTATTGATTAGTTTGATTACTGATTACGTGGGCGATTCAGTAATATTTTATGTAAGCAAGCAACAATTAAGTTATGCCCGGTTCACATTATTCTAGTCCAGTAATCCAGCGAGTCAACCCAGTCCAGTGTTACATTACATTACACAGATTACATATCGGGTAGGCAGAGCAACCAACCATGCACCGCGATCCTAAGGATCTATTGTACCCCGATAGATATTGTTATCAAATTTCACCATGCAGTCCAATACTCTTAAGGAACATTAATACCTTGCTTGATACAGTTAACATTAGGGCAGTGGCATAAAACATGCTCAACCGTCTCCGCACATAGTCGGCATTCAACACCGTCGGCTAAACCCAACAAGTTGAAGTGTGCTTTTAATCGGCAGTGCCCAGTAAAGACACCCATTAGAACATTTATGCTGCTACGAGCAAATCCTAACATATTCCCGAGTTTGACAGTGGCGATGTTAATAAACACCTTAGCATGTCTCATTCCAGGAGAACCGGTCTACAATACGCGAAGCCTCTTTTCAGCCCACAGTCCAATCCTATGTTTGGCCATCGCAAATGATACACCAACTACTGGTTCCTCCCCACAAACGCTTTAGCATTGCCCTCTCGTGTTAGCTCATCTGCCGCTTCATTGCCAGCAACCCCAGAGTGACCCGGGACCCAGATCAGAGAAACTCTGTTATCACAACTCAGTGTGTTTAATGTTCTCTTGCAATCATTAACCACAGCCGACACAGTTTTCACGGCTTGCAATGCCTGGAGAGCGGCTTGACTGCCTGACAAAAGTCGTACTGTCATGTTCTTCACCCTTGTCTCAAGAAGGATTTTAGCACCCAAATACTTCCGTCTGGAATACAGTACAGTACGTACCCAGGCTGTAAACTTGCTTAATTCGAGGTGTCTGGCAGTATACTCCTGATCCGACCCCTTCCATCGTTTCTGATCCATTTGTGAACATGTAAATATCTGCTTGAACCAGAGAATTTTCATTTTCGATCCAGGACTGCCGTTCAGGCAGTACAATCTAGTATCGAGCATTAATCACTGATAGTGATTCCGCCAAATCTGACGGAAGCACAGTATCAATGCTTATAATGTCTTCCACAGCGCATTGGTAGGACATGTCGGAAGAGTTTTGAACATATTGCTTCTATATGCAAATGCAGAGGAGATAGGCCAAGCAGAATCTCCATTGCTAGAGTTGGCGTTGTGCTTATCGCCTCAGATAATTCCCAATCCAGCTAACCATAGGTCTAATCACAGTCACATAGCGCCAGTACAGTCTTTGAGGGGTAAGACCCCAATTTTTTCCACAAAGACTGCGACAAGTCCACAAGGATAGGCTCGCTTTGTGCAAAACTCCCTGTAAATGTGCATTCCATGAGAGGGTTTTGTCTAGGATTACTCCTAGATATTTGACTTCCTTTGATAAAGCAATTTCTTCACCTTGGATAGTTGGACAGATTAATCCATCCAACTTTCGTCTTCTGATGAAGGGCACAACAATTGTCTTTTGCGGGTTCATCGAAAGATTCTCTCCGTTACACCAAGCGCAAATGGTATCTAGGATCACCTGGAGGATTTTGGATATCCTCCACAAACATTGTTTTTGTTTTGCGGATCCAATCCGCTATAGTTGCTTCCACTCTACTGTCAAGAACAGCTCCTTCAAGAGAGTGTGGTATTGCGTTGAACGCACCTTCTATATTCAGAAACGCACAAATCAAGATTTCTTTAACCTGGAGCGTCCTGGATACTCTACCAACTAAGTTGTGTAGAGCCAACTCTGCAGATTTTCCCGCTTGATAAGCATACTAGTGGCGACTCAGATATCAGTGGTGAAATGACGTCAGGCTGATGGGTAGAAAGGCATTAGGAGTAGGGACTGAACCTCTCTCCTATAATATCCTTCCCTAACTGTTTGCCCATATATCAGTCTCCTCTCCTTAATTTCCCTCCAGCACTCTCCCAGGATCCTGCAATACCTTCTACTTCAATCCTTCTATCATTTCCTCACTGCTCTTTTCCCAGCCTCCACCTTTACTGCATCCTCCTTAACCTCCTCCCTCACTACATACCCTGGAGTCTCACTTGCCAACCCTAGTACCCATCTCCAACACATTGTTTGTACATCCTCCAGCACAATCCTTGTTCTCACCATCTCCATACTTCTGCGCCGTACATCATTGTGCTCCTTACCAAGTCCTCAAACATAACCTTTCTTTTGTCCACATCCCTCCCGAAAGTTCTTTCCCCCCATCCCCAAACCTGTCCCACCACCCTGTTCGCTCTTTTTGCCATCGCCCTCACGTGCGACCCGATCTTATTACTTTCAGAAAACCCATATCCCAGGAACGTATACTCTGTTTTTGGGGAATAAATCCACTTTTTAGTTTCTGCTGTATTTTAATATATTCAAGTATAAACGATTAAATCTTTACATACCATGACCGTTAACTCTCGTCTTCGACATGACACCCGCTTCGTCTTGTGCGCAATGTGCACCGTTTCCAATACTACCAACCCAACAGTACTCAAAACTTAAAAATATTAACGTTACTAACTCAACACACCGACGCCGTTGAAAGTACTAACTTTCAAGATAAAAATAGGTAAGTATAACGAAAATCTAAATATTACATGTTATAGTTTTTTAGGTACTTCAACGTCTATAGGAAGAACGCACACCTTTTTAACAGCCCGCTTCACAACACCACTGGTTGTTTTTACACTAATAACTCGCACAATATTATCACTGCCAGGATGAACTTCAAGAATTCTTCCCAGTCGCCATTTCAACGGTGGAGTGTTGTCTTCCTTGAGTAATATTAGCTGTCCAATCTTAACGTTTTCTCCAACAGCTTGAGACCATCTGCCTCTTTGTTGTAGGATGTTGATGTATTCCATAGACCATCTTCGCCAGAAATGTTGATACATTTGTTGAAGTTTGTTGAATTGATTCAGTCTGTTGAAGGGGACATCCATAACGTCTCGTTGAGGAATCGTATTAAGAGGTTCTCCAATGAGAAAATGCCCCGGGGTAAGAGCCAAGAAATCATCAGGATGTGTGGATAAAGGAGTTAGGGCCGGTTTTACAATGTACGGTTGACAGTAGGTTCACTGTCAACCTCCGGTTAACCGTTAGTTTGCGTTGTACGACCTCCGGTTGAGTAATAAAGTTCCGGTTAAAGGGAAGTTATCCCAACCGCAGGTAAAAGTTAAGATGATCTCTCTTTTGTTTATAATAATTTTCGAGTTTGTGATAGGCCTTTTCGACGAGAGGATGTTGGACGTAACAAAAAATTGTTGAAAGGAGTAGTACCATCATTAAATTTGCCAGTATGTGTATAAAATTATCAAAATGTTGTTAGGACTGAGGCATATTTTTTTTTCACATATAGGATATCAGTACTTAGAAGTCAGTACTTCAAGTGTTTCGAATAACACGCCCACTACTCCACATGCAGATATGGGACTTTAGGTTGCTTCAACATCCACCAGTGCAATCTCATTGGAGACTTCAGGTAAGAAATTATGTCTTTTATAAATCGTTTATTTTCAAAAGCTCTGGTTAAATTATCCATAATGGCATATAACTCTTAATAAGAGTTATTTATTAAAAAACGAAATATCATTCAAAAAATGTTTAATTTCCCTTTTATTACAAAAAAATGTAGTATAATTTTTTAAAGTTTGATTTCATATTACAGGGAAACCCCGCTTAATGGGGAAACAGCGTTAATCGGGGTCATTATTGGATATTTTTTGACAGCTAAACAATGGGAGAGTTTATTGGAGGAAGTTGGTGTCCACAAACAAGACGACTTATCACCAAAAGTACAACATTTATACAGGAAAGCAGTGATGTATAAGAGGAAATTCCAGCTCCAGTGTATAACATCCCAAAGAAATAAAAGAAAATTATTACCAAAGAGACAACTTTTTAAGCAGTCAATTTCAAGTTTAGACAGACTAAAACAATCCTTTCTTTTTGAGCCAATATGACAACGACGGAAGAAGGTTGCAGGGGAGGCGTTATACACTTGATGACAAAATATTGGCATTACATTTAATGCTACAAAATGGAAAGGGGTATAAGGTGTTATAAAGTGTAAAGTTACACTGTGAGGAATAAACAGATTCGCGCTCTATCTATTTTTAACATCTTTTAACAAAGTTATTTATCCACGACTACCTTATAATATATACCTTATGAATGAGTTTTCTAAAACAAAATGGTAGTCATTTTTCACGGAGTGAATAATAGCGGTGAATAATAATCATTATTCACGGGCATTCACGGGTAGCCAACTTGACAGACTAATAATTATGATTTGAAACGTTAAAATTTCAAAAAACGTCAATTTAATTCAATTTTTTAGGAGTTTCTAAAGGTTTGACATTAAAAAAACCTAAACAAATTCCTTTTTTCGTATGATTTAAGCATAAATTAATTAATTTTCGTAAAGAAAACGACGGCGACGTTTTATAAAACTGACATTTAATTTTGACAAATTGTTGTGAAGTTGGTTACAGTTAGTAACATTGAATTTGTCACATTGACGTTTAACTTTATTCAAAAATGTATTTAAAAAATAAATTTATGGAATCAATTTCAATAGTCGTGGACAAAGTATAGTATTCTACTCGCATATAATAAGCTATTATTCACTCAGGTTAATTATGCCACTGGTGCCGTGTACAAAAATTTTACGTAAATGTCACATCTATATAAGTTATCTATGGCTTAGATTATCTATTCCATAATAGCGCCATAATTTGGTTGTCGCTACGTCAAATCTTTTTAAATAAAAGTTTCAATATCTCGAAAACTATGCAGTCTAAAGCATTAAAACCTTATGACATTTTGCAACACCTTGTCAAAAGGAATCCAAAAACCTTAAAATATACAGGTGTTCCATTTAAAAAACACGCTCACCATGTCATAACTCAGACTGCCGTCAAGATTTTTATTTTATTTCTACGCCAAGATATGCGGAAAATAGTTTCAAGTAACTTTTATTTAAAACTTTTTTTGATATAAGTTCAAGTTTAGGTAGAACCATTATTCCATACTTTTTGTACACCTGTATATTTCTTAACTGATTGATATTTCATTGTTTTTTCTGTATTTAAATCTTGGCTCAATAAAGTATCATTATTATGTGTCCAAGATGATAATGTGTGCCAGGGATATTTGGGACGATGTAGAAGCATAGAATAACAGTTATTCTATGGTAGAGGGATGTAAAATCCTTGTTTATGTTTTAAGACCCACAAGATCAAAATAATAAAGTTGAGTTTTGATTAATGTTTTTATCCTCCCCTTGTTAGCAGTTGATTCCCACAGTAAAATCAATTTTTCAGAATTTTTAAATTCACTGACCCCAAAATCTATCTATAAATGTAAACAATCTCATCCGAACACATAAAACTTGTGCACCTCGAAATAGATTGCTTCCTAAACCACTATTTATTTATAAACGAAAAACGATCGTATTCAACTCATTACAGTTTAAAGCAAGCCAAATTTATTTTAATACACTTCAAATAATCACAAAACAGTTTTTTCGCAAGTTTCGGATGATTAAAATAGTTAAAATACGTTGCCAGATAAACTGCTCTAACTTATCAAATTTACGTCAACTAAAAATAATCGACCTGTGGTTAAAAATAACTGGCAGAGATGTAATAAGTAAGGATTAACTTTAAAACTAAAATATTACAAAATATTCGAAATTTATCAGGTAAAATAACATTTATTATCCCGTTCAATTACCTATTTTGCTACCAACCTATTTTTTTAAATGAATCATAACCTCAATTTTTAAATTTTAGGTTATGTCTTCGCATTCATGTGAATGAATTTGAGTTTGTAAGTTAAATTCGAACGAAAAGCAAATAAAACGTTTTAAAAATGTCTCAATTGATGATGTTGGTTGCTTCTGCTCATTTGGTATTTTGTCCATTTACTAAAGTTGAAGAAAGTTTCAATATGCAAGCGATACATGATATTTTGTATCATCAAGGGAATTTAACAAAGGTATTTACATAATTCGTGGTAATTCATTAAATATGTTTGTAAAATTTTAGTACGATCATCATCAATTTCCTGGTGTTGTTCCAAGAACATTTATCGGTCCAATGTTTATAACAACGTTAGTAGCTCCTTTAGTAGCTATTTGGCAATATTTAGAATTAAACAAATTCTGGGTACAATATTTTGGTAAATATTAACTACCTAATTAAAATGTGTACTCCTTATTATGTTTTTTTTTTAGTTAGATCAGGGTTAGGGCTCTCAGTTATATACACATTCAATATCTTATCGAAGACCCTTGAAAAAACTTTTGGTGCCCATTGGGCATGGTGGTACCTAATAATCACAATAACACAAAGCCATTTCATGTTTTATTTAAGCCGAACGTTGCCGAACATTTTTGCACTTCCCTTAGGTGAGAAGGTACCAAAATAATTAATTCCAACCCGTTTATAATTTTACCAATTAAGTGTTTATTTTCAATACATTCCAGTTTTGCTCGCCATCGACGGCTGGCTTAAAAACGACAACATGAAATTTTTGTTGTGTTCGGGTGCTGCTATTATTATATTTCGATTCGACGTCGCATTATTTTTGGGTTTATTACTCATTTACGATGTTTATTTGCAACGATTATCTTTGAGGAGGTTCATTCAAATTTGCGTTCCCGCTGGAATTGGTTTTTTATTATTATCCGTTGTGGTAGATTCAATATTTTGGCAACGACCGATTTGGCCTGAAGGAGAAGTGATTTGGTTTAATGTAATTTTGAATAAAAGTTCGAATTATGGGGTAAGAATTGATTTTGTGTTAACCCATTAAGGACCAGTGATAGAAATAATTGAAAAAATTCAAATTTTTTGTTAGTAATCGTTTATTTAGGTCTTTAGAAACAATCTTTAAAATATAAAATACAACATAATACATTTTTGTAGATTTTTTGAACGTTGCGTTAACGCAACATTGGGACTAACTCCATAGTAAATGGAACTTTACATTTGATGCACATAAATACTATCCTGCTCTGATATACCCCTGGGCCCGCTCTAGGGGCGGACCATCCGGACATTTGTCCGGGGCGGCAGCTCTAAAGGGCGGCATTTTGACTCAGAATGTGATAAAATTTTGATAATCGAATTTAATCGAAATTTTTGCTTGTCGATTTTCTACCAATGGAGAGCATGTTGTAAGAGACTGGCTAGTATACTCTATTTCAAAAAACTGTATTTATTGCTTTTCTTGTAAAATTTTCGGCTGTGTGATCAGTTCTCTTTCAAAAGACGGCTTTAAAAGTTGGAAGCATATCGTTGAAACGTTAAAAGAACACGAAGTTTCAAAAAATCATATTGAAGCTCACAAATCATGGCTGGAACTGAGTCAAAGACTAAAGCGTTGTAAAACTGTAGATGCATCTGCTCAAAAAATTATTAATGCTGATACAAACCATTGGTATGAAGTGCTTCTAAGAATCGTAGGAATCATTAAAATGCTTGGTAAAAGTTGTCTGGCTTTTCAAGGTACAAGAGATAAACTATTTGACCATTATTATGGTAACTTCCTAAAAATAGTTGAACTACTATCTGAATTTGGTCCCATTATGGAAGAACACGTGTGAAGGGTACTGAAAAAAGAGGAGATGAAAGCCCACTATCTCGGTAAAAATATACAAAACGAGATAATAGACTTGTTGCATCAAAATGTGAGGTCTCATATTATTAATGAAATAAAAAAGGCCAAATACTATTCTATAATTTTAGATTGCACTCCTGACGTAAGCAAAGTGGAGCAAATGACTCTTATATTCCGATATGTTACAGTCAATAAATCTGATTTCAACGATGCTGAAATAAAAGTTAATGAAAGTTTTTTGGGTTTCCTTCCAATTGAAAGGTGCACAGGAAAACAAATGACTGAAATCATAATTGAAGAACTTACTAATATGAGTTTAAACTTGCAAGATGTTAGAGGACAGGGATATGATAATGGATCTAATATGAAAGGCGATAAAGCTGGAGTGCAATCTAGAATTAAGAATTTAAATTCACGAGCGTTTTACGTTCCGTGTAGCAGTCATTCTGTGAATCTAGTGGTTAATGATATGGCAAAAGCTTCTTCGATAGCCGCTAATTTCTTCAACATAATCCAGAAACTATTTTTTTTTTTCATCATCTACGTTTCGGTGGGCAATACTTTTGAAACATATTAAAGGATTAACTTTGAAACCATTGAGTGCCACTAGATGGGAGAGTAGGATAGAGGCCTTAAAGACTTTACGATTTCAAATAGGAGAAGAATACGACGCAACAAAAACTTGGTACAAAATCTTAAACTGCATTAATCCTATAAGCAAACTAATGCAAACAAAAGATTTCGATCTAGCATCTGCACTTGACCTCTTACAAAATTGCAAAAAATTCTTTAAGGATCTTCGATCGGACAAGTCTGTCAATGAAAGTATAATTGATGCAAGAGAACTGGCTGCCGAAATTGACATTGAAGCTAATTTTGAATCAACAATTCTACGACACCGCATACAAAGAAAAAAAAATATTTTCTCATACGAATTTCAAGATGAACCGATTGAAGACCCCAAAGAAAAATATCAGTACAGTGTCGGCCAAATAGTTTGTATCAATAAATTAGCTATATATTTTTGATAGCATAGCTTTATATGTTTGATTATTTGATGCAGACTTTTTGAAAGGGATTATATGTTTAAAGGGCGGTAATTTGTCTTTTTGTCCGTGGTAACGGAAACGCTAGAGAGGGCGCTGTATACCCTGCAGCGTTGTCTCCACTTTTCATTGTTTCTTGAATTATGTGTAACACATCCAATCTGGAGGTTGAAGTTACAAAAATTGTGGAACCACGTCCTCTGGTTCTCCATCTAAAATCCAACTGAGAAATTGGTTTGTCATTATACAGGGTGATTTATTAGCTCACCACCAAACTTTGACATATGATAGCTAATCTAATTACCAAAAAAAATGTTAATGTTAACATATCTCCTATTTCAATTATTTACGAAATTATAACACTAAAGTTTTCTGCAGCGAATTTATTAATAGTCAGTAAAGTCAAACATTCAACAAAACAAAGTTGTCATTATAATATCAGTTCGATTTGTGCATCGCTAAAGAGCGGACTTTTTTGAGTAGAATGTACTGCCGTTGAAAATTTTAAACATAGCTGATAGTTTTCGAGATATAACATAAAGTTGTATTTTTTTAAATATAACTTTATAAAAAGTTGAAAAGAGAATATTTTTAGCTTTCCAATGATGTGTCGCACGCATGATGTTTCTGCGGAAAATAAGCGTTATTAAATATGTTAAAATAATCTTATTTTTTTAAATATAACTTTCAATTCTAAAATTTTACAGATTAAAATTCAAATTTTTAATTATAGTAGGAGAGGAAAACGCTAAATCCTGCTTGGTTACTATAGCAACGTGAGTTTACTTGTCATTTAAGAAGTTACGCATTATCTTTAAATACAACGATAAAATTAAATATAGAATATATTGGAGTCCGCTTTGAAGATGATACATAAGTCTTCATATCCCCATTAAAACAGTTTATGATCCCTAATTTTCCTCTATCTCGCCCAATTTCAAAAGAAAAGATTGCTGATATCAAAAAACTTCTACATCTTATGTTTGGGGAAAACTGGAAAAATACTATCGAAGATCTCATTCGTTGATACCGAACTGTTCTAACCTTACAACCAGTAAGTTTAGTAGAAGAAGGTGACGTCTGTGACTGTTCAGTTCCTGAAGTTGTTCATATTTAATTATTCATTATTATTTAGTAAGTATTTTTAATAAACAAACTTTAGTTGCAAACCACTTTTTATTGGTGAACAAAGTCAGGGATAAGATGCTGAAAAATTTAAATTAACTATTCAAAGTTTTTATTCGTTGGTACAAAACCAACTTTATCCTGAATAATAGTACAAAACCAGCTTTATTCTGTCATATTCGTGCAAAACCATATAGCCACTATAATACATAGTATTTTCTGTCCGGACCCGCCTACTATAATCAAAATTTTGAACATTACCGCTTACTATTTTGGAATTGAAAATCAACGCTTATTTTCTGCAAATACACCATACATGGAAAGTTAAAAATATGCTCTTTCTAGTAACATCATAATAAACTATAGTTTGTATTTCAAAAATCATCAAGTGTGTTTAAAATTTTTCAACGGCAGTATATTCTACTTAAAAAAGTGTCTTAAGAACGTATCAACCCCATTTCTCTAATTTCAAAAATAAACGAATTATGAGCATTTTTTGAAATTACGAAAATTTGATTTATTGGCAATAACTTAAAAATAAAAAAAGATAGAGGTTTGGTGTTTGCGGGATTGGATTAGTCTCGAAAAAAGAGACCGGGACATGGCACCTACTTTTTTCGTATCTCTTATAGTTTCTGAGATAGCCTATAACATCCAAATTTGCCCACCTGTACAGGGTGTCCCGTTAAGCGTACGGAGCGGCTGTATCTCGATAACGGTAAGGCCTAGAGCTTTGGGAAAAAATCTTTATAAGCAAAGTGACCAAGAGAAATAGCTGGAAATTATTTTGAAGTTCGTAATTCGACCGCTAGGGGGCGTAACTGTCATTAAGAAACATAAAATTGCCGCTATCTCAGAAACTTAGATGATGAGCTATAATTTTGACAACATCATTTAATAGCTTGGATAATACTGCAACGCTTTTGTTTTGCGATATTTCTCATATCTGTCATAATAAGGGAAGGGGAGGCCAATGCGTTTTCATATGTTTACATTTTAATATCTCCTGGACCATTCAACCGATTTGAATATTTTTGGTGTTGTTTGAAAGAGCATTTTATGCTCTTTTTAAAGATATTTTCAATAAAACCGTTTGCTTTAAAACAAATAAGCTAGAGGGCGTTATCTGCAGCGATTACATATTTTTGTGATTTTTGAAGAAAAGTTAAATGGAACGATACTATTTACTTCACAGACCCTTAGAGTCACCTTAAAATTTGCAAAATTTTAGTGAAAACCGCATCTCGATATCGCCACCCCTTCTCGAATTATAGAAGAAAATGATAAAAACTCGAGTGCCATCAATCGGATCCAGTTACCTTATCGATAAAAACAAATCACATAACCATGGTAACTGTAAACATGTCATTTACTAACGCAACAGCGTATGATAGAGCATATGATGATTTATTTTTAATGTTTCGAATGCGATACAACTGCATGGCAAAAATGTGCAATGCAATTACGACAAAGAAAGACATTTTTCTCTAGAAGTGTTTTTAAGATTGACTTGGTGATTACGGAAAACTGGCAACGTGTAGCCCATTCAGACATCTCTATGAATTAGTAAATCACATTGGTGCGCAATGTGATCCCACATAATCTGGGAACTCCGAAAACAATTGTCCACAAGATTCCTCAAGAGAATAATATCTCCACCACGTTGGTTTACATCAAGTCTTAACAGATACCGATTATGATAACAGACTGAACTATTATCATTGACTTTTAAATATGATTTGGACAAATCCAAACCTTTTATCACAAATGCTATGGATGCATGAAGCATCTGTCCACAAGCTGGTGTAAACTTGCATAATATGCATTCTTGGTTCGAGCAAAACCCACATGCTATCACCCCTTTTTCTATTGCGTATACTAAACGACCTGACTTTTCAAGAAAAACCAATAACCAGGGAAAATATGACAAAACTCTAAATACCAGTAGAAACGTGTCCAGGGCCGAGACTTAAGCTTTTAAGTTTTTTTTTCGTCGAAATTAGATTAAATAAATGCATCGAGGTTTATGTAAGGCATTTCGCACATTAGTGAGCTATTTTTGTCAAAAATTTAAGTTATTCTAAGTGTTTTGGTTTATTTTGTTTTATTATCATTGTTGATGTTTCATTGATCCGTTAGCTTTTAAACACGCCTCAAAAGTAGTTTTGAAGCAGTTCTAAGCTTCGATAAAGTGTGAAGGAAGGGTCTAGATAATAAAATTTTTGTGCTCTCTTATTTGTTTCCTAAGGTAACTTGATCCGATTAAGATATACGAATTTTTAACATTTTCTTCTATAATTCGAGAATGCATGGAGATATCGAGATGCGGTTTTCACTATTATTTATCAAATTTTATAGTGATTAAGGGTCCGTGAAGAAAACAGTACCGTTCCATTTAACTTTTTTTCAAAAATCACAAAAATATGTAACCGCTGCAGATAACGCCCTCTAGCTTATTTGTTTTAAACCAGGCGGTCTTACTAAAAATATCTTTTAAAAGAGCATGTAATGCTCTTTCAAACAAGACCAAAAATATTCAAATCGGTTGAGCGGTCCAGGAGATATTAAAATGTAAACATTTGAAAACGCATTGGCTTCCCCTCCCTTATTATGACAGATATGAGAAATATCGCAAAACAAAAGCGATGCGGTATTATCCAAGCTACTAAGGTCCGTTACTACCATCTTTTAGTTAAATTTATCTTATAGATAAACACATCTACTAGCCAATCAGGGCGCGTAAAATAGCCGTAACCATGGTAATAATCCTTTAGATAGCTTAACCAGAAGATGGTAGTAACGAGCCTAAATGATGTTGTCAAAATTATAGCTCATCATCTAAGTTTCTGAGATAGCGGCAATTTTATGTTTCTTAAGGTGTCAAAAATTATATTTGCGTAAACAATCTTTTTCTTCTCTTTACCTAAATTCAATAAAATATGTATTTAAATGCTTTATTTATTACTAGCCATAATATTCTCAATGTTGTCGTAATTTGAGACGTAAATGAAACCCGGCTCGTCGGGTTAAATAAGCATAATTAAAATATATATTATATTCTTTCTTTTTTTTATTTAATTAATAAAAGACTCTGAGGCCACCCTAACCAAGTATTTGCAGTCACAAAAACAACTTTAGACAAGTTTACGAATACAATTCATATGTATACCTACTGGTAGTTGCTAGGTCCCAATGTTGCGTTATCACAACGTTCAACTTTTAAAGTCACTTGGATACTAGATTTTGTAAAAATAGTTAGCTATTTATCCATATTCTTGTTCTGTGAAGTATGCTATATATCAAAAACATTCAGGATTAAAAAAATTATAATAAGAGTTCCTTTTTACAATGTTTTTAAATTCATATGACCATGCTAAAAATTTCACCATTGTTAATTTATATTTACGCTTAGAAGTTGAATTATCTATGACAAAAAACTGCATAGGTGTGCTCAAATCCTTCTTAAACGAATAGTATTTTTCTGATCAAAAATTAATGCTTTAAATATTTAAAAAAAAATCATTTTGCGAATTACGTTAACGCAACTATGGTCCTAGATGGGTAAAAAATGTATCGTTTTTTTGTTAATTTTTAGACTTCTCCATTTTTGTGGTACTTTTATTCTGCGATTCCAAGAGGGATGGCAGCCTCGGTGTTTTTGATCCCGTTGGGGATTTTCTTGGACCAACGTGCGGCGAAAATATGTTTGCCCGCTTTACTATTTGTACTTTTGTACTCTTTCCTGCCACACAAAGAATTAAGATTTATTATTTATGTCTTCCCGTTGTTAAACGTTCCAGTAGCTACTGCTTGTCATAGAATGTATAAATAATTATTTAAAAAAAAATAAATTATATTCATTTTGTGTTTTTAGATGGGAAAATAGGCACAAAAATTTGTTGTTCTACCTCTCATCGTTGGGTGTATCAGGTCATTTATACCTCAACGTTCTTTTTACTATATTCTTATTAAACATTTCAAGTACAAATTATCCTGGAGGTGTGGCGATGTCCAAATTTCATAGGCTCTATGAAAACGAAACGAATGTTAACGTACATATTTGTAATTTGGCTGCTCAAACTGGTGTTACAAGGTTTACAGAAATTAATTCAGGTTGGATGTAAGCAGTATTAATGTTTTATTCAATTTAATTTCTTTTATATAATAATTCTCTATTTGTAGATATAATAAAACAGAACATTTAAATCACGGCGATCCAGACATGTTTGAATTCACACATTTAATAGTCGAAGCCAAATCTAAGTATTCAACAAATTTAAAACCTTATACATTAACTCACGATATTGTTGATTCTGTGGAAGCGTTTCATAAAATTGTGTTTAATTATTATTCATTTCCTCCAATTCAAATTAAAATGAAACCCGTCCTATTCATTTTAAAACGTAAAGACAACTACAAAGATTTGCTCCCAATAATACCGCAAATCAACATAACAGAAATGGGGTCTGGGGAAGAATCTGAAGAAGTTTCAAATTTAAAAGTTATTGAAGAATCGAAAGAGGAGGATGTTACATATGAAGAAAAGGTTGCTACTTTACAAAAAGAACTGATGGATTCTGAAGATGTGACAAGATCAAGAGATTTTGAGGATAGTTATATTGATTTTGAGGAAAGGCTTAAAATTGAATTGATGGAAATGAAATTAAGGGAAGAAAGAGAAAGTGAGAAGAATAAAGAGGATGTTGAGAGAATTAAGGAAGTTGATGAAATTATAAATGAATCTAAGGAAATAAAATCACCGGAAAAGAAAAAAGAAAAATCTAATGAAAAAATAAAATCTAAGAAAATTGAAAAATCTTCTAAATTAATTAATCAGAAAGAAAAGCCAGATCTAACTTTAAAATCGATTGAAAAATCAGAACCAACAGAAAAGAAAAATGTTAAGAAATTAATAAAACGAATTGTTAAAGACGATATGAAACAAGAAAAAATGCAACAAATAAAAATCGAAGAGAAGCCTACAGTTATTCAAGAAAAATCTGTTGAAGAAAAAATTAAAAGTCAAGAAAAAGTGAAAAGTCAAGAACAATTAAAACCCGCTTACAAAGACATTCCCAAATTAAAAGAAAAAGGGAAAGTAAAAGAAAGCATAAAAAACATAATCCGAGATTTCAAAAAGAACCAAATCTTATCAAAAATAAAACCGAAAACCGAAGGCGCAAAACAAACCATTAAAAAAATAATCGAAGAAGATAAAACCTTGGTAGAAATGGAAGAGTTAAGAAAACTTCAACATCAAATCTTAGGAATCATCGAGGAAAATCCCAACATATTAAACAAAGAAGCAATCAAAACGAAAATAAACGAAGCCGTTTTTAAAGATATTATCGATGAAAGTAAATTGGAAATGGAAATTGTTAAACCGAAAGTAGTACCACCGGTAAAACTTGAAACTGAAGAAACGACTAAAGAAGAATCTGAAGAAATTACGATAGAGGAATCGACGGAGGAATTTGAAATTAGTGATATCGAGAAATCTGTTATACCTAAAACTGCGATTTACGATGAATTTATGCCGTTTAACACCGAATTTGAAGCTGCTAATGAACATATAGAAAATTTAATGATTATGTTGGAAGAAATTGTTAGTAATATGGAAGTTAATGAGGATTTGTATGTTAGTGAAGAATAAAGTGGATAAATAAAGCAGTTATATTATTTATAGTTTGTTTTTTATACTTTGTTGCACAAGATTACTATCAAAATAATAAAGTTGAGTTGTGAACAATAATTTTCTCCTCTTGTTAGGAATCGAAACGCAAACCTCTTCGCTCTCTTCAATTACATTCATTTTTCATCTCGACTTCCTAAATCACTTTATTTATTCATAATTTATAAGCGATATTCAACTCCAGCAACCTACCTATTGAAATAATTTGAGTTTGCAAGTTAAATTTTAATGAAAAATAAACAAAAAGTTTTTACTACGGGTGAAACACTGTATATTAACACGAAATCGTCAGTTTTGGAAGATAGTAGATGATATCGTTCTTTTGATGCCGATTTCATGTTAATATTTCAATTTCACCTCTTCGCCCGCAAGCAATCTCGGCAATTTGAGATAAAATCATTCATCATATATCTTGGTAAAGGTACAAAGACTTCTTTAAAAAAACATATACATACTACTAATCTGCCGAGGTCGCTTGCGGGCGAGGCAGTTATATGTAAATATATCGACGTAAAGTAGGTATAAACTACTAGTTTTAGCACTTTGACCGCAAGCGACCTCAGCAGTATTAGATGGCATTCAGTTAATGCCTTAGAAAGTGGATCAAGCGTACATTTGGATGAGAGATCATTTGTCTTCACTTCGAGGTGAAATCATTCGTTATATATCTTGATAAAGATGCAAAGACTTGTTTAAGAAAACATATACCGGGTGTTTAAAAATTGTGTGCGGATAAATATCTAATATTTTATCCACTTGTAGTTCTCATCAAGATAAACAAAGAAGTCTTAGTTCCTAAAATCAATTGTTTCAGAGATACAGTTGATTTTACGTTGCTTTTCAGTAAACTTTATATCTAGTCGTTTGGTGGTGTTACCCATACAAAATTAAACACATTTTGTCTTTATTAGTTATTGTCAATTTCACGTCATTTTCGCTGGTCCTTTTATTTCATGTAAGCATGAATGAATACACAAATGTTACACTTTATGTACGACGCTGCTAATGGTAACGCTTATGAGGAACGTTTTTGCTTAAAAAGTACACAGAATAAGCATTTTTATTCAAAAAGTATACTGTCAGAAAAGTTATTGTTATTTTAATCCGTAAAGAATACGTTACAGAGCGCCCTCTACCGGCGATAGTAAAACGGACTCCATAATCGTCTTTCTCATGCCAAAAAAACTCCGTATACCAAATTTGAAAAGAATCGGTTGAAATACACGTGTAATATTAAATAAAAATCAATTTAAAAATTTAATTTGAACATCCTGTATCTCCAAAACAAAGCGTTTGTCGACCTATGTTTATATGAAGTTTTTGTGTTAATTTCAAAAGACCTATCGACTGTTAAAGTCCTGCTACAAAAACCTGAAACATCCTGTATATCTAAGATGCAAAGCATAAGGTAAAGATGCAAGCACTCCTTTAAGAAAACATACGTATACTCTTAAACTGCTGAGGTTGCTTGCGGGCGAGGCAGTGGATTCGTAATTACCGATAATTCGAATCAATTAAACAAGGGCAATTATACGGATTAAACGATATATCAGCAATTATGTTTTGTTTTACTATGGCCAATAGCATGAAATCTTCGGTTTCCCATTCTTCATTGCTATCTAAGTTTTACCAACATTTCTTAATTAAGTCAACAGTGCAATTGCTTGAAAATTGGTAGACTAAGTTTGTCATTCAGCTTCTACTAGCACAGAAGTCGTCTTTTCCATAATATTCCCGGTAAAGCACCCTAGCCTGCTTAGCTAAATATTCACATGAATTAGTCGTAGTGACGAGATCTTTTTTTAAAACTATGAATGCAATGCATTTTCCAGTTTTAGAAATTCTCCTGTCTTCAAAGTTTTTCTTTTACAAGGATCATGATACAGTTCTTTATAAAGCTAATTCAATAAAAATAAAAGAACATGTACAGGGTGGGCAAATTTGGGTGTTATTATAGGCTATCTCAAAAACTATAAGAGATACGAAAAAAGTAGGTGCCATGTCCCGGTCTCTTTTTTCGAGACTAACCCAATCCCGCAAACATCAAACTTCCACCTTCTTTTGTTTTTAAGTTATAGCCAAAAAGTCAAATTTTCGTGATTTCGAAAAATGCTCATATTTCGTTTATTTTTGAAATTAGAGAATTGGGGTTGGTACGTTCTTAAGACACTTTTTTAAGTAGAATATACTGCCGTTGAAAAATTATAAAAATATTTAATGATTTTTGAGATACAACACAAAGTTGTATTTTTTTAAATACAAACTATAGTAGGTTATGGTGTTATTGAAAAGAGCATATTTTTAGCTTTCCAATGATGTATTGCTCGCATGGTGTATTTGGGGAAAATAAGCGTTATTTTTTAATTCTAAAATATTAAAGAATAATATTCAAAATTTTAATTATAGTAGGCGAAGAAAACGTTAAATGCCACTTAGTTACTATAGTAACGTGAGTTTACTGATCATTTCATTCATGAATTTTTCAAAACGAGTTTCCCGCTTAAAAATTTCTCATTATCTTTAAATACATAAAGCGAAAAATTAAAAAATGATTCTTTGAAAATGATAGATAAGGCGCCATATCCCATATAAACATCGTTTCAATGGAAAGTCCGCTGCCTAGTTTATGATCCCTAATTTTCCTCTATCTCACCCAATTTCAAAAGAAAAGGTTGCGAATATGAAAAAACTTTTAAATCTCATGGTTGGGGAAAACTGGGAAGATACTACCGAAGATTTCATTCATTGATACCCAACTGTGCTAACCTTACAACCAGTAAGTTTAGTAGAAGAAGATGACACAGTCTGTGAATGTTTAGTTCCTGAAGTTGTTGTTCATGTTTAATTATTTATTAATTAATACGTTTCTTATATTTTTAATAAACAAACTTTATCTACAAATCATTTTCTATTGGTGAACAAAGTCAGGGATAAGACACTGAGATATTTAAATCAACTATTCAAAGTTTTTATTCGTTGGTACAAAACCAACTTTATCCTGCATAATGGTACAAGATAAAAGGGATGAAATTCTCCATACTTTTTGTGAGAAATATTAAAAATACTTAATTTATTTCAAAAAGTAAACATGTTTCGAAACAAATGTTTCATTTTCAGTTGTTGTTAAATTTTTTCTTTTTCCTAAAACAGGTACTGAAGATGAAACATTTGTTTACTTTTTGAAATAAATGAAGTATTTTTAATATTTCTCACAAAAAGTATTTACTTTTTCCTATTTTTATTATGGTACAAGGCAACTTTCTGCCATATTCGTGCAAAAACCATATAGCAATTAGGTAGTAATTACTGTCCGAACCCGCCTACTATAATCAAAATTTTTAACTTTAGCGCTTACTATTTTGGAATTGAAAATTAACGCTTATTTTCCGCAAATGCACCATACATGCGATACATCATTGGAAAGCTAAAAATATGCTCTTTTCATTAACATCATAAACAAGTATAGTTTGTATTTAAAAAATTCTACTTAAAAAAGTGTCGAAAGAACGTATCAACCCCATTTCTCTAATTTTAAAAATAAACGAAATATGAGCATTTTTTGAAATCATGAAAATTTGACTTTTTGGCTATAACCTAAAAACAAAAGAAGATAGAGGTTTGGTGTTTGCGGGATTGGGTTAGTTTCGAAAAAGGAGACCGGGACGTGGCACCTACTTTTTTTGTATCTCTTATAGTTTCTGAGATAGCCTGTAATAACACCTAAATTTGCCCATCCTGTACATATGTACCCATTACAAGATCCAAACAATCTACACTTACCTCTTGATTTTCAATCTATTCTTGCGTATGTCTGAAATAATTGAACAACCAATATTATACAGGTTGTCCCAAAACTCAAAGTCAAGCGGGCACCGGGTGAGAGGCCAACCCATACCTGTTCTGGTAAAAATAAGAAAAAAATTCTATGTCTCTTATAGTTAAGTGGTAAGAGACATATTTTTGAAAATGTTAAAAATCGTTCCCGTACATCATATCTTTAGGTACTACGGTCAGAAATGTTCGCAATTTAATAGTGTTTTTCTTAATAATGTATTCCTAACCTATTTTGCAAAAAAAAGTATTAGTTTGATTGAGTTAAGGTTGAAAGAATTTATGTCTATTAAATTTGACACACGATTTCTAAACAAAGGAGTAGTACAACACCCTTGGCAAGTTATTTTAAAAGATGGCTTGTTTAGTCAAGATTTCAAAATGGTATAACACTTGCCATTTTTCTCTTCCTAAAAAATATGTTCTTCTGCAAAAAACGCGTTATTTAAAAAAATTCATACTTTCGTATGTTATTTGTATTTCCTCCAAAATGATTTAACAACTTTGTTAGAAGATGTGCCACTCAATATCTACAGAGAAATGTGGTTTCAACAAGATGGTTGCCTTGCTCATTATGCTTGTCCTGTATGGGATTGCATACAGAATACCCAGAAAGATGGATTGGGCGTCGTGGTTCGATTACGTGGCCTCCTCATTCTCTGGATCTAAATCCCTTTGATTTTCTTATTAGGATTGCATAAAAGAAACAGTGTGTTAAAAACCGATTAAAAATCTTGACGAACTAAGCCACAATATTTATACAGCAGCAGAAGAAACAAATGCAAAGAGATTTACACAACTAGTAAAAAGATGTTTACTGTGACGATGCAGAGCTTGTATTACTGCCGATGGCAAATAATTTAAGCATTTGCCTTAGTTTTAAGAAAATAATGCAAAAAATTAATAATAAATAAATTTGTTTGTTTAATTTTGTCTTTAGATTAACCTTATTTGAAAGAGTCTTTTTACAAATCATAAGGGTAACCATCTTGTTGAAACCACATTTTGTAATTCGTAGATATTGACTGGCACATCTTCTAACAAAGTTAAGAGGAAATAAAAAGTAAATACAAATAATATACGAAAGTATGATTTTTTTAAATAATGTGTTTTTTGCAAAAAAATAGGCAATAATATTTTTTATGACAAGAAAAATGGCAAGTGTTGTACCATTTTGGAAACTTGACTAAACAGGCCATCTTTTAAAATTACTTGCCAAGGGTGTTGTGCTACTCCTTTTTTTAGAAATCGTGTGTAAAACTTGATAGACATAAATTCTTTCAACCTTAACTCAATAAAACTACTTAATACTTTTTTTTTGCAAAATAGGTTAGGAATACATTATTAAAAAAATCACTATTAAATTGCGTACATTTCTGATCGTAGTACCTAAAGATATGATGTACGGGCCCGATTTTTAACATTTTCAAAAGTATGTCTACTACCACTTAACTAAGAGACATGGAATTTTTTTCTCATTTTTACCAGAACGGATATGGGTTGGCCTCTCACCCGGTGCCCGCTTGACGTTGAGTTTCGGGACACCTGTATATTTTTGCCAATTCAGCACCTGAGTATCATCCTTTTTGCGATTTTTCTAAAACATAAATAATTATCTTTTCTGCAACGACAAAGTATTGTGCTTTCTTTTTACAATACTAGCAAAGTGAGAATAAACACGTTGAAATACGTACAACACTTCATAGATTATAATGATTATGAAGGCTCAGAATACGCATCTTAGGTATATTGAGTATTGGTGCGGATTACAAAGTACTTCAGATTACCGTTTATATGGATTATCAAGAGATTATTGTATATTAAATTATGTTGCAAAAAATTGTTGGCGACATGGAAGTTAATGAAGATTTCTATGTTGATGAAGAATAATAAAATGGATAAATAAAACAATTTATAGTTTGTTTTTTATATTTTATTATTAATGTTTGAATAAACAACCTTAAGTGCTAATTTCTTCCAATAAACTTAAACATTTATTTTTTAGAATAGTTATAGCTTCTTTAAAAATATCAGCTGCTGGTAATGCTCCAACAGATTCAATTGTAACTAAAAAAAATAAGTTGAAAGAAATTGTTTCTTTATTTGTTGATAACTTACAAATAAAATGATTATCAATTTTACTCATTATAACAGATTCCCTTAAATCTTCATGTCTATAAATATTTCTACTGCTCATATCATATCTTGCACTATTAACTTTAGCAACTTTCTTCCCATTTTTATCTTCAATAGCTATCACACCTGGGCTAAAGCATTTTTGTAGTCTTTCGGCAGCTTCACCTTCCACAGGTTTAATTAATTTTATATTTGGAAGTAACCTATAGAAAGCAGTGGCTAAAACAATTAATTTATTCAATAAAATTTTGTTTAAATTAGTTATTTTATGGGTAATTTATTACCAACAGGGGAAAATTTTGCGTGATCTCTTCCAATACCTTTAACTGCAATTAATTTAATATCCATTTCATGTCCAGGCCTCATTTTTGCAATCAATATCTTATCATCAATCGCACAAACATCACTTTCTTTATAATATTCTGATTGATTTCCTATAGGTAACCATTTGATATGTTTTGAATAAACATTATTATTTTTATACAAATCATTTGCACAGGCAGAATCTTTATTTCCATCTTTGTTATGGCTACATTTAATTTTTAATTCATATTCCAAACACTCGTTATCAGCATACTCAGCATTCTCCTTATTGTGAAATTCGAATAATCTAGGATCTGCTTTTAAAGGAACTAACCCCAAGCGATGTGCTAACACTTCATCTTGTATTATAGAAGTGTTGTTATAAATATGGACTTTTTCAATTGCCATACTGGGAACATCACTTAAAATGACTCGTCTTATTGAGTTTACTAATGAAGTGTGAATCCCAATTAAATCAAATTCAATTTCGTATGGGTTATAACGAACAATTACTATACGAAAATTTTTTTTGAAATCATTCATATCAAATATAACTTTATTTGCTGTTGTTAACTAAATAAATAAAAATTATGAAAATAAGAGGTTATGTTTTGTAATTCATTTAACTTACGTCGTATAATTTATGTTCTCCAAGTAATAATGACCCAGAATCATTTTCATCTTTATTAATTTTATTCATTTTTAAATTCAAATTCAACGAAATTAAATTATTATTGCGCTTTGAATTACCTTTTGAGGTTATGTATATCTATCATACGTCAAAAAATCTTTAAAAAGCACATGTATTTGTTTGTCAATTTACGGTTGGTACAGTTGTTGAAACTTACCCGCATTACTCAAAAGAGGTCGCCTTTCATATTTACGCGTAACTGCCATTTAAAAAAAGTTTCGCAAAAGTTTCTTGTGACGTGTGAAAGGTTTAAACAAAAATATTCCGCGCAAACCTTTCTCCAAAGAATAATTCGCGAAGTGTATACCTTAAAATAAATAAAATGCATTCCAGTAGGCGTCGAAAAAAGCGTTTAAATTATGGTGTCAGAACGGTCGAGGTAGAACGGGGCCCAAATGGGTTTGGATTTACTATTTCTGGTCAACAGCCGTGCATTCTTTCGTGTATTGTGGCCCATTCCCCTGCGGATATTGCCGGTTTAAGAGCTGGAGATTTTTTAATTTCAGTAAATGGTATTAGTGTGTCTAAATTAGCCCATGATGCTGTTGTGAATCTTATTGGGAATTGTTTTGGTCCGATACAGATGACTATTGCAGAGAATTACTACTCAGATAGTAGTGATGATGATGTTGATGTTGGAAGAATTGTAAATGTTCGAAAGGTTAAGCATGGTCATAAAAGTAAAGGTCATAAGATATACCAAAAGTCATTTGATGTTGGGTGTAAAAGAAATGCTTTAAAAACTAGAGAAAATACCAAGAATGGGAATAATTATGATGATTACTTAAACACACCAAGTGTTTCTTATCAAATGTTGAAAGAAAACGCAACGGGACCGATTGAATATAAAGCAATTGTGGGATATTTAGGTACAATTGAAATGCCAAAACAACTTTTACCCAATTCTCGATTAAGTACAGTTGTAAGTTGTATAAGAAAACTTAGACAAGAAAAACGAGTTCCAACAGCTGTTTTAATGACAATTCTACCAACTTGTCTCACTTTAAAAAATGCATCTAATCACATTTTGGCTATTTATCCAACGAATAGAGTTGTTTATATCAATTCGCCTACTGACAAAGATTCCAGATATTTCGGATTAGTTACTAGTGCTATAAATGATGCTAACGACAATACGGAAAGTGATAAAAAAAGTGATGTTAACATTTCAAATAGTTGTCATGTTTTTGTTACTGATACCAAGATTGCCGAACATGAAACACACGCAAAGAAAGCCGAATCATTTCAAATATCTTGTACAATTGATGTCGTTACTGGTAAGGAATGTTTTTCGTAAGGGAAGTAATTTAACTGTGGCACACCAATTTTGATGAAATTGGGTATGCTCATAGAATGGACCAAAATAAGGTTTATGTATTTTTTTATACGTGGGGTAAAAACCCCTGAACAGAGTTTTAGGGGTTGAAAGTTTGGGAAAAAAGCACTTTCGCTTATATTTCGAAAACGAAGTAATATCAACTTTTGGTAAATTGAAACTGATATTCATTTTTAATAAGCTTTCTTTTGATGTATCACACATATACCACAGGGTGAAAGGGAGCGAACTACCCTTATTTTTTCAGGTTTATTTAAAAATCAACCTATCGATTTTGATGGCATTAAATACAGGTGGCTCAGCGAGACCGTTCATTAGACGTTGAAAATAAAAATTTGAAAATCAAATTTAAGCACATACAGGATGTCAGATAAAAAGCGCCCCAAGCTGTAACTCTGTCATTTACATTGCGATTTTCATGAGCGAGGTATCAAATGAAATGGTTTGATGAATACTATGATTCATGCTACAAATAAATTTTTTCCAAAGCCATCTTCAATTTAAAGCGATTATTAGCTTTTGTTTTTCAAATTGCTCCATATTTTTCTTCGCGTGATTTTATAGAGATTGTTTTTCTGAATCCATTGATGCATCCATTTTTTTTGTAATTTTAGCAGAGAAAAAACACTCCTGTATACAGGTGTCTCACGTAAGTTTTTTTATGATCCAGTATTCGTACAGTTTTGAAATTTTGGTAGTATGGGTAGTTCAGTCGGAACTTTCGATCTAAAATATTTTCAAGATGGCTGCCACGTCCGGTCTACCGGAAGTAGACCATAACTTCGTTATTTTAAATGGAATGCTATAATTTTTATTACACCTTTTAATTGTACGTAAAAAAACATGTTGATTTTCATAAAAGTTATTGGTACCTAGCGTTTTTCGTTTTCGAGTTATTTTGATTTTAGGGATTTTTTGACAACTTTCACCATGCTCTTTAAAACCCTATATCCCAGGCAACGTTCATTGAAAAAAGCTCTAAATTGGCACGATTACTCTTCAGATGCTTTCAAATAGATTGTCATATATTATATCAGAGTATCTTATTTTATGAGCCTACGCGAAAGGGAATTTAATTCTCTACAATTTATTTATAAACATTCCTATACCTATTTATTGTAGTTTCTCTCATATTCGTAAATTTATCAAAACATGCAGGAAACCATTTGTATTTTTATTAGAGTTTATCAGTTTTTTGTTTAATTTATTTCTATTATTCGAGGGGTAAACCGCTAGTTCAAATTTTGTACACCTACTTCCCCTTTGACAAATAATTCCTTATACTTCCTACTTATATTCCTAGTATTTTCCTGTACTTCCGTGTATTTCCTCACAATTCCTTATACTTCCCCGTACTTCCGTGTACTTCCCCGTAATTCCTCTTACATACTCGTATCTCGTCTCCATTCGGACGGCATATCCACGTGTGTCTTTAAGTAAAACACCCAAATAAAAGTCAATAAAAATTAACATATATTCTTTGGCAAATAAAAACATTGAGTTTTTCTATATAAAAACAGAAAATAATAATACTGACAAAACAGTATTAAAGTTTTTTATAATTTTGTTTGAAAGCTTTGTATAATTTCTTTATTTCTACATCATCATGTCTGCTAATTTGAAATATGCCGTTACCAAGTAAAGTTTGTTTAGTACAGAAAAAAAGTCTGTTATAAACAGTTGATTATTGTCAATATTGTCTCTTTTGCGTTTAGATCTTTCACTTCTTCCGTACTTTTCTAATTTCCATTTTGAAGAGCTAGTCTGGGGAGAATTATTACGAGTAACAATTTTTCGTGTAGGAACTCGTGTAAGGGTGTCAGTCGAGATTTCGGTCTTTGTTGGAGTTACACACTCGGTTACGCCGACTGATACTTCCTCGGATACTTCTGAGGAAACATTTTCTTTATCGGTTTCCGAGGCGGTTTCATTAAAGTAAATATTTTCAATACTCTTCAGACATTCATGATGAGATGTGTCAATACGGTCAACAGGTGTTACGGAAATATTTTCTAGTATAATAATCTTTTGTGAATTATTTTCAACTGAAGAACTTGCACGTGAAGAACACGGATTTGGGTTCAACGTAAAATAATCAGTAATTGATGTTTCCCTGCGTTTACTTTCAACAATAGTTGCCGGCGCATTAATTTGATCGTTCGTATGCGCAGTAATATGTTTACTTAAANAACCGCTAGTTCAAATTTTGTACACCTACTTCCCCTTTGACAAATAATTCCTTATACTTCCTACTTATATTCCTAGTATTTTCCTGTACTTCCGTGTATTTCCTCATAATTCCTTATACTTCCCCGTACTTCCGTGTACTTCCCCGTAATTCCTCTTACATACTCGTACCTCGTCTCCCTTCGGACGGCATATCCGACGGCACTTTTCTGTTTCCTGATCTGTAGCTGCAGTCTCACTTAATGGTTGTGCTGAGGGGGGTGGTAATGTCTGCTCAGAAATATTTTCAGTTATGTCGGTTTGCGTAGACTGAGTCGATATTTTTCTCTCGTATTTGGATTTATAAAATTTGGAAATTAGAACTATTTGTTTTTTCGTGCCAGATGGCAATTTAAATTGCTGCGGATTATTTTTAAAAATCCCGTAAAACAAATTTTTTTCTTCCAAAGTTAGTAATTCATGGTAGTCATTTCTAATAAATGCTTCTATTTTTTCTAGATCATTTTCGTCAATCGTACCATGCAGCACCTCATTATCAAATCCGCTAATAGTAAGAATTTCCTTAACATTTTCATTTAATTGAAATTGTAGAAAATTTTCGGCCTCTTGAAAACAGCGATAGCGATAGCGATTTGCCGTCATCCTGGCGCCTAATACAAAACAATTTACGAGCGAATTTAGTACCATTGACTCTTCACGATATGTTAATATAAATTTAAATTTTAATATGATACTCATTCAATCTTACCTTTGAATGAAAACGATGCTTTTACCAGTAACAATTCACACACCCTTTATGAAACAAAAACTGCGCACCTAATACTAGATCTAGCTTGTTTATGGAACATCGTAACTTCGATCGTTAGATATCGTGTTTAATCGTGTTCGATCGTGTTTCAATATATCCCCAAATTTCCCTAAATAATTTCCCGTACTTCCCCAAACTTCCTCGATAATTCCCCGTAATTCCTTGTACTTCCCCGTAATTACTCGCATCTCCCCATAATTCCCCAGACTTCCCCGTAATTCGTCGAACTTCCCCATAATTCCTCCGCATTTCCCCTATTTTGTACACCTACTTCCCCAGCGGTTTACCCCTCGCTATTATTATTTGTACTATTAACTTCGATTGATAATCTTTTAGTTTACTAGCTTTTACTTACCAAAAACAACAAACAGAAGATCAAATAAATAAATCTATTAAAACAAAAAGTTAATGACAAAAATTAGATTTGAATAAAAATATAAATTTATAATATAAATTTGTTATTAATTTGAATTTGGAAATGCAAGAAAATACGTTAAATTATTTATTTCGTTGTCTTCATCACTGGTGACCGGAAATATGCGATTTTTTTTGGTCTCAATATATCCAGAACTAAGAAATTCTTTATCAATTTTTTGAAATTTTTCCTTGTGATGGGCGTTAGGTTTGTTAGGCATCTCTCATTAAGTGTTCAACACGTCTTGTCCGAAAGTTTATTACATTCGCCATCAATACAAAATAAATTTCAAATATCGGCGTTGGAATAATTTAGCATGATGTTCAATAACTTACACCCGTCGTCAAATGTAACTAATGGCAACAATAATACAAACATGGACCAAAAACTGTCAAAATTCCATAGCTTTCTAATAAAAAAACCTGCATTTCGTTCATGTTTTAATAAATTTCGCAATATGAGGCAAACTACAATAAATAGGTATGGGAATGTTTATAGATAACTTGTAGAGAATTAAATTCTCTTTCTGATAGGCTAAAAAAATATGGGGCGTTCCACTTAAAATTTTCGACTTTCTCGCCATTGAATATGGAGAAACAGTAATTCAATTTTTGACCAGCCTGTATGAGATACTCCGATACAACAAATGACAATCTATTTCACAACATCTGAAGAGTAATCGTGCCAAAGTAGATCTTTTTTGAATGAACTTTGGCTGAGATATGGAGTTTTAAAGAACATGTTGAAATTTACCAAAAAAAGTTTAAAACCAAAATAACTCGAGTTTGGGCACGTCATTCAGATACACCCTGTATACAGGTTGTCACACAAGAACGCCGCAAGCTGTAACTATGTCATTTACCTTCCCACTTTTATGAGCGAAGTATCAAATGAAATGGTTTGATGAATACTGTGATTTATGCTACAAATAAACTTTTTCCAACGCCATCTTCAATTTCAAGCGATTCTCAACTTTTGATTTTCGAATTGCTCGGTATGTTTTCCTTCACGTTATTGAATACATATTTTTTTCTCTGAACCCATTGCTGTACAGGTGTCCCAATTTCGAAGTCCGCATAGGCTATCTCCGAAACTAAAAGGGATAGAAAAACAGTAGCTTACATGTCATGATCTCGTTTTTCGAGAAAATACTAACGCTGAAAACTCCGAAGAGCTATCGCCTTTTGTTTTCGCCCTATCGGCAAAAAGTGAAAATTTTGCGAAAACGACAACCGCGAATATCTCGCTTATTATCAAAGATGGAGTATTATAAATAAACTGGTGTGAAGTTATCCATAAATCCCAGCAATAAACTTAAAACATTAATAATTCCGTAACCAATACGATTTGGGTAACCAAATTTCACACACAGGTCACTCTTACCCTCAAGAACAGCTAACCACCCCCATTTGGTAAAAAAAAAAATTTTTCAGCCCTCACCCCCGAAAAAGGGATGTTTTCGCCCTGATGGGCACCTTCGAATTAAACGAAATTCTACCACATAATAGAACACACTTCTAAGTATTTTTAT